TTCGCCTTTTAATGCAGCTTCGGCCCGCTAACTCTGCGACCTTTGACCTCACGACTCACGAGCAAGCCATCAATCTGATTGTGAGCCGGGAACCGGCATCCATTCCACCGTTGAGTCAACGGCGTTGACATGCCAGGGAAGAGCCCCGTATGGGCATTCCAACGATGCCAAGTTACTCCAGATATTAGTAATCATTCCCATGAGAAATTATTTGTACTTTTTCTTTGGATTTCCAGATCCAGTGGTTCAAATTCCGGATATAAAATTCCCCGAAAACCAAACCGAGAAAAACGCTACAGTTCGCCAGAAAATCCGAATTTGTAATATTAAAATCTGGCAACGTCCAGAAGTTTTCACGGCGTTTTCCCTGGCTCGAATCGAAAAGGCGCAGCGCGGGGGCTCATTTGAATGCACCGGACCGAAGTCTCCCCGCGGCGGCGCCATCTATCGGCTCGAAAATTCCTCCGCTAACCGGATTCATTTCCGGGTGAGCCTTGGAACGCACGAGGTAACCGGTTCTTCGGGGCTCAAGTGCCCTTAAATGTGGGTTTGTCGTGCTGCGATCTGGCAGCACCGCGGCGGAGTTCCGTATTCCGGATAGCGTACGCGCCACCAAGCTAGCGTTGTGGCGCGAGCCGCTTGGCCAAACAGTACTTTGACCAGAACCGGCGCGACGGCGCACAATGAGACCACGCACTCGAAAGATCGAAAATTTTGATAGCTTGCATCTTAGGGGTTGAAAAGAGGCTAAATGAAGATGTTGCATGTGTAAGGAATTTGCGATTTGACTATTAGAATCAGCCTATATTAGTGCCTGCAAGACTGCATGAATACTTCTCGCACTGCGCCAAACACACACTGGTAAAAAAAACCTCCTGGTAAGAGTGCAGTTTCTTGTCGCCGGATTGTTGCTTGAAACAAGAGTCTGGACTCTTGTTTCAAGACTCTTAAATCCGGCGACAGGAAACTGCACTCTTAAGTCAATGCTCCGCGACATTGGTCCAAGAGGTTTTTTTTACCAGTGCAGTGCAGTCGGTCAGTTGGCGTGAAACGTATATTAGCGCCTACAAGACTATAAGAATGCTAATGCTGTAGGACTACGTGCCATCTTTCTTGACTTCCTGCTCCGGTTATTACCATAATGGAGATGTTGCATGTGTGAGGAATTTGCGATTTGACTGTTGATTCGTATGTAAAAATTGGCGAGAAACACGATGGTGCCACTGGTTTTCTCTGAAATCAACTCCCAAGCTCAAAAAAAGCTCTCACGTTGAGGTTAAAATGGAGGGGATATCCCACCCTACCCTGAGAGTCCACCTCTACATCAAGAAAAACTCTCCATGCAAAGATAGGGAGCAAATACATTGACAGGGCTGCCACTTTATTTGGGGACTCTAAAACTGAAAACCCGGCAAACCTGCTAATGTTTGCTCCCTATCTTTGCAAGGAGAGTTTGCCTTGATGTAGAGGTGGCCTCTCAGGATAGCGTGGGATATCCCCTCCATTTTGGCCTCAACTTGAGAGCTTTTTTTGAGCTTGAGAGTTGATTTCAGAGAAAACCAGTGGCGCTATCGTGTTTCTCGCGAACCTTTACGCAAGTATCAAGAGTCAAATCGCAAATTCCTCACACATGCAACATCTCCATTGGTTTTTTTTTTTCTGGAAAATTTCCTCAAAGAACACTCCTTAAGATGTTCATTGTAATGAAATAAGCATCAACATTGCAGTTTTAGTAACAAGTCTCATGTCCTGTTTCCACTAGTGACTCTTTCCACTGTGCGGCGCGGCGTGACGGAGTGTCGTTTGACCGTCTGGATCGCCGTTTACCATTCACCCGCGTTTTGTACTGTGAGTCATGTTGCAATAGGTGACGAAGAAAATACACAAGAACAGAGGCGTCAAAAAGGCAATTTAAAAAGGAGAGTGTCGTTGAGGACCGAATCGACCCCATCCTGAATTTCTACAGATTAGCACTTTGTGACGCAGAGGAAGGTTTACATCAAAAGAAAACAACTGGTTTCAGCAGGTCATCGAACTCTCCCAGTGAGATAATATTCAATAAGGACGTATCTTAACGCTGGGAACAGCAATTTTTCATGGGGGTTTTTCAAATTAGAATTATGGGATTCTGCTGTGGAGTTTCGACCAGGGGCGCAAACAGTGGCTTTTCATGAAATTTGGTAAAACTGTTTTTAGACTCCTCTAATTTCGCTTGTATCTATCTGTCTCTGGTCCATGACTATGTAATATGTACAGGGTGTCCCCGAGCACCCGTACCAGGCCTTTTTCTCGGTTGATTTACGTCGAATGAAGTCGGAGACCGAAGGGAAAGTATGGAGGGGGCCGCTGTCACCCTTATCACGACATCATTTTTGGGCGTAAAGTGGTCCAATTTTGGATTTTTAGGGGTCGATTTCACGAGAAATCACGTGAATTTTACCGTACTTTTCAATTCTAATGAGATCGAATCGAAATTCGATCGAGAACCCTGACTTTTAGGGTTGTGACCCCTCCCCCCTTTGCCCTCCAAGGGACGCACGGGAGGTTTCGAGACCATGAAATTCGAATTTCTTGGGGTCGATTCGCTATTCAACCCTGCGGTCGCTAACTTCGTCCGACCTAAATCAACCGATAAAAAGGCCTGGTGCGGGTTCCTGGGACACCCTGTGCATAGCTCGTTTTTCAAAACTATCTTTCAAAATATGTTCCGTTTACTCAATTTCATTCAATTCTGAATACCTACCTATTTCAGTCTACTCTACAGGTTTGGGTCTCTTCGGTTTTGGCTCCCTATCAGGCTATTACTCATCTCTGTTTATACAAAACAAGCTTCTTGACCTCTCAAATATGAACTGTGTCTTATCAGAGGCTGACCCACTCCTCCACTTTATTATTGCATCTTCTTCGTAATTTGTAAAACTGCAGGCTTTTGCCGCTGAGTCGACAGTAATCACGCTAAAACGTATCTTTAGCGGTTTTTATTCCGACTACATATCGAACTGCCTTGCTGTTAGCGCTGGAAACGCTGCATTGAGTTACAAACGTCAACTATGCGATTGTTTACCGGTTGTATAGCTATTTTTAGTCATCGATCAAAATTTAAAGTTTGATTTTGCAGGGTTGCCACAAAATTTAGAAAATAAAATTCCCTGACATTTCCCTTATATCTCTCACACTTTTAAGAGGAATTCTCTGAGAATTGAGGATGTATGCCATAATTTGACCATTTGCCAAAAAGAGGCATGATTTGAAAAAAGTTTTCGAGCATTATTCGTTGTTCAAGACGTCAAATCCGTTATAGAAAGCGAATAAAGGTAAATTAACAATTTTTCCCTGACACTTTCGACATTTTCCCTTACATTTCCAGGTTTTCCTTAGCTTTTCAAAATTCCTTGCTATTTCCCGGTTTTCCCTGACTGTGGCAACTCTGTTTTGTTCTTCCCAAAATGATTGTTCTTGGGATTGCACGCCAGGGTTTAAGAGGTCACGGAGTTGGATAAATGCAGCTATGGAGAGCAAATCGCATTCTTAATTTTTTTACCAGGTGAGAAACCCATCTCCGCATCCCAGCGTTGACTGATTTTATAATGAAGGTCACAGTCGCAGGGATGCACAGGCGCAAGTCTAAAACCGCCCAAAGTGAAGTCTCTTTTCCTACGGACGATTGAGCTGCCGATCAGAGATGGAAAGTGAAATTTCATAAGGCTCGAATAAATTTCACAAAAGTTAAAATTTATCAATTTTTTTTCTTCTTTAGAATTATTGATTACACCTTTGGAGGTCTGAAAGCGTTTCAAATGGTCTTTCTGTTGATGCTGCGGCATTAAGCTACTCTACTGAAGGTGCCAGACACAAAGAGAGAAAAACCCCAACCTAACCTCTAAACTAAACGAAAACATTTGCAACGCGCGCGAATGTTTTAGGCTTGGGGTAAAAAATTTCAAAATTTAGAATCACTGTTTCTTGGCGTTTCTTAGCCTCCTGAATCCATCCCCAAAAGTTTCAATAAATTTCATGAATTTTCGTGAAATTTCACTCGAATAAATTTCATGAAATTTTCCATCTCTGGCCGTGCTAGCGAAGAGAGCAGTGAGTGCATATCTGAATGAGCCATAGTTAGCACATGCTTTTATGTGTCTCAAGGTTCATCCCAGCGTGCACTTACTGCCCTCTTCGCCATTACGGCAGTGAGGTGGCTCATGCGTGCCGCTCGTGTCCGAATCTTGTACTATACTGCGGGGGGCGGAAATGCAGACCTATCACGTGGTCCGTTTCCGGCAGCGGTTACGAGCCAATTATCTGCTTGCCCGGTGACTCCATGGCACATATACCAATTTCGGTTACTCACAATCAGCCCCGCTTGATTATTCGCGGTAGGTGCCAAAACTAACGGCTCGTATTCCATTAGTTGTCGAAATAGCGAGACATCGCGGTGGGTGTCCGTTTCCGACTGACTGTGATAAGAATCGCGACGGAGACTGGTCTGTTGATAACTTAGGCTAGAACGAAAGGAATAGCTGTTCTCCTTCGGGAAAGTGGCCCTAAAAGCACGATCAATACTTTGAGAAAGTTTGAAATTAGTTGGGTTTTCATTTTGAGGAGTTTTTAGCTCTTCGAGCTTTCATATGAAAATCAGCTCGAGTCAGGCATTTCGACGGTGAAAGTCAGCAATCATTTATCTCGTTTGGGGGTGTCTGAAAATCTCCGCCTTTATGTTGACAAATTAAGGCCTACAAATTGACATCATTCTTTGAAGTTTTTGCAGAATTTTCGTCGCACAGATAAACAAAATCACGGAAGTTTTAAAGAATTGCCGTTGAGTAGTTTACCGTTTAAAAAATAAAGTATGACAGGAAGTAGGAAGTCTGCGACGTCGCAAATCGAGATACAGGGTTGCGGACTTGCACCGTCGATATGCTCTAACCAGCTGAGAGCGACTGTGAACATATAAACGACATCAGTCACTGATTGCGTGTAGAAAACAGATCAAAAGTACTTACGACTCGGGGCAGTATTGGGATCCACCGAAAAAGCCATGTTTGTCTGGAACAGTTGACACCACTGAGTTATTGTGCACTGAGCTCACATCCGAGACGTCGTCGTCCCACTCATTATTTGCGTCAGCAAGAGGTGCGGTCATTTTGGCGTCTCATATCACACTGAAACAAAAAGGGACAGTGTCCAGTTTTTCGAAAGCTATAGCAAGGGTGATGGTTATGGATGATGGAGTTGAAGGGGTACACTCAGGGCTGGATTTACGATTTTTCAGCCCTTAGGCGCAGTCTGTGGAGCGGGCCCGCCTAAAAGTTCGCCTCCCCGGTTGGGAGACAACCCCTACCCTACACTGAAAAAAAAAGTAGCTTGGATCAAGCATGATAATTCTTGAATTTGCCGCTAAGAATTTTCTTTATCTTGCTTTAAGCTGACTTTTTCTTGATTCAAGAAAAATAATGCTTGGGTTAAGCAAAAAAGTTGCTTATATTAACCAGCAAAATTCTTAATTGATTTAAGAAGAAATACTTCTTGGCGGCAAAAAGATTCTTTTTTTTCCAGTGTATATCTCTTCCTTGTGATCGCGGAAAATGACTTTCAGAGATATTTGAAATTAGTAAATCTCTCACTGATGACATACGCGGAAAAAATTAAATTGCTGATATAACAATTAAATTGCTAAAAAAAAGTGACTGTAATATTTCAACGTAGATTTCACAACACAAAAATGCTACCTTAACCACTATTGTAAATTTTTGTGTTGTGAAATCTACGTTGAAATATTGCAGTCACTTATTTTAGCAATTGAATCGTTTAATCAGCAATTTAATTTTTTCCGTGTACCTACGTGCAGTAATGTGAAATTACTTTTCCGTTGGCTATTCATCGGCCGGCGCACAGCGGGTCGAGTCAATCCGAGAGGTCGGACATACAATTTTTGACTAAAACTGCAAATTTTGATGTTTATTTCGTCACATTTTATACTCCAAGGGGTGCTTCCACCAGGTTTCACAAGGAACCCAATGGAGCCACTTTTCGAACCTCAATTTTGTGTATAAACCGAGTTATAAACTCTCAAAGTTTCCAAATTTCGTCCGACCCTCAAGTTGACTCGATCCACTGTGCGGCGAGGAGCCCGTGACTAAAATCCATGAACGTACGAAACAAGCTGTGTTGTAAGTCTATGCTATAATCACGGGTCTGGACAAAATTAAAAGTTATATTTTTAATAACTGATCCCTTTATTCCTTCCTCCTTTAGTTCTGTCGCAGTCTAAAAGAGCGTAAACTAAGTTGGCGCGAACTCGATCTTCCTCTTCTTTCTCATTTCTTATTTTTCCTCTCTTTGCATTATCTTATTCTTCTTCATTCTTATTTCTTCTTTTATCTTCCTCCCCTTCTTCCTCTTCTCCATTTCTTCTCTTTCTTTTCGGACGGGAGGTACCAAAGTAGAGTTAAGTAAGTGGAAAACAGCGTGAGGGGAGCACAAAAGTTATCGTGACTGCAACAAATTCGCCGACGAAAACAATGTGATTTGGACATGGAGGATGCTAGCACTAATCAACCACTGCACTGGGGAGCTCGTATTGCCTAAAAATTGAAGGGAAATTGACATGACTTTGAAGAAAACTATTCCGCTGTGGTAAAATTCTATTTTTTGAGTTTGATCCGACGAGTCAGTCTGCCGTTTCACGACGCAGGGGTGCATATTATAGTAGATCACGCGAAACATTTTCGCGTGAAATTAGCCCTTAGCGTGTAGAAGCCCTTACCGATTTTACGGAAGCGTGATCACGCGAACAATTTTCGCGGAATTTTTGCCGAACTATTGTAGAAGGGTTTCCAAAAATTATGCCTAAAAATTGCGGAAAGCTGCTTTAGCATTTTTCATGGAAGATTGTAGAGAACTCTTCCGAATTTCTTGCAGACGATGTGGAAGGTTTTCTAGAATAATTTTTGACCGAAAATTATGGAGAGCTCTGCACAATTTTTTTTCACGAAGGATGCTAGGGTTGCCACAATTTTTTGGTCGTGCTAATTTCCAGGTAAGTCTTAATTTTTGCTAATTAGTTATTTGTCTACAGCTATGGGAGTGGTTACGCCAATTTGTCATATTCCGTGTTAAAGGATTGGGACGTATATTATAGAAGTGTTACAAAGGGGGAGGGGAGGTCTCAAAATGCGGCAAGAGTGCGTTACATATTCAACAAACGACTAATTTAAAAAAAAAAAGCATCTTAAATTTTACTAGCGGAAACATGGCCGGATTTACCTACTTGCCGCCCATGGGCCGCCTGTATTTTGTCGCCCTCTTCTCATTCATTTTGAAACATCAATAAAAACCATCAAGTGAACGTGCCGGAGGGAGAAGGGTGTATACGACGCGTTCACTCGTGTTGGACACATTTTTTGCGTAAGCCCTGTCAACACTACTAGCGAAAGTTCACGGAACTTCGCGTGAAAGTTCAGTTCCGTAAACCTATCTCTGTGGGGACAAGGTCTTTCATTTGTAAAAAATGAACTAAAAAATTAAGAGAGAACAAACATAAATGTGGTTAAATAATTTTAACTTCCGCCGCCGTGCCGCGCTGACCACACTGTGTTTTTCGCGATACGTGAGGTATTCATGTACTCTTGCAGGCACCGTGCGTTTCACGCCGCGCCGACCGCTGTAGACCGTACTGTGTTTGACGCAATGCGTGAAGTATTCATGCAGTCTCGTAGGCGCTAATATGTGTTACATGCCGACCGTCGCGTCGAGGGCTTCTCCTTTTCATCTCAAGTCCTCTTCATCATTTCTTTTTGCGCCGCGCCGCTCCAGGCCAAATTACGTGTTTGGTTTCTCTCTTAACTCAACTAATTAAAGGTGCGCAGCCTTTTGTATCACCGAAATACGACAAAACTAGAAATTAATGAACTCTCGGGAAATGAGAGATTTGGCACCTTTTCTTGTTTGTAATTTTTTTCTGAATCCGATTTTTTTTGTAACTGCATTTAAAAAAATTTCAAAATTTGCCGCCATGGGCCGCGGCCCATGTGGCCAGGTGGCCACCCCCTTGGTCCGGTCCTGAGTGGAAGGGGTAATATGTTTCGAGCTCAAATGTGGATGACTAAAACAATGTACACCCCTGTCGACGATTCCATTATTCGACCACCCGGGAGCTCGTGATGCCTGCACTAAAATTGAAGGCGAACTGACAAAGTGTTAGCTAATGATCTTTTCCTGTTTGATAAAAAGCTATTTTCGGTATGCGTGTTCTTATTCAGCGTGCAATTTCACGACGACAGGTAACACTATTCCACTTCTTTCTCATTTCTTCCCCTCTTATCTCTAATCTCAATCTGCTTTCTCCTTTCTGCTTCCTTTTTCTTTCCTTTTCAATCTCTATTCTTTTGTATCTCTTTTCCTGTTTCTTTCTCTTGTCTCCTTTTTCCTCTTGCATTCTTCGTTCTTTTATCTATTTCTACTTCCTCTATTCTTCTTCTTTATCATTAATTTTTCTTCTTCTTTATTTTTTTCAACTTTTTCTTCCCAGACAGGATATAAAAAACTCCCAGGGAAACAGCATAGGGGAAGCGCTTAAATTCATTGGCTCTAACATTCATGAACGTTTATTGGTAAACTGAAGGTAAATGCGCTTTGACCCAAATTCGAACTCGACCTTCATAAGTACGACCAAATGGCACAACAGTAATAAAGTGGAATAAAATGATGTAATTCTAACAAGAGGTTTTGCGTCTGGGACAAATCCGCCGACGGAGACTGTGTGACAATAATATGAGGGATAAGTATCCAGCTCAAAGTGCGGTAAATTTGAGCCAATCAATGAAAATTGAGAAGTGAATGTGAACTTCCCAATCCTCTGTGCCTACTCATGAAATATGAAGTTATTCAGAATTAAAATCAGGGGAGGCACAAAAAGGCCTTCAACTTGGGAAGGGGGAAAGGGGTTGCCAAAAACTGATTGAAATAATCCCGGAGCCCCCAGATGCGTCAAAGATGGGGGGGGGGGGCATAAACGAATTTGGGAGTTCCTGGCCCTCCTGTTTCCCATCAGCAAAGCTTTGATGGGCTAATGGGGTCGTCAGGATCGGCTTCTTCGAGATCAATTACCGATGAAAACATCATTTTCGCCAGCATCTACGTCAATTTTGGGAACTAGCGTCTACTTGAGGGGAGATCTGTCCTTTTCAAGTACCTACTTGCTGTGTCAAGGAGTAAATTGAATATTGAAAAACAGGGCTTGGGCTTGACAGATTCTTAGGTGAGTAGCAAAAACAGGTAAAAGAACGACACTCATGGGTTAATGATAGACTCATGGTGACTCTGAGTTAAGTCCAATTTACTCGGTTCACCTTATCATTTAACTTGTCTTCCACTTTTGTCAATGGAAAGTTGGATTCTGTGATATTGACACAAGAGTACACAACAATCGAATGAAAGGTTGGCCGGAAACTTGAATGTGACGTTACCTTCAACTTTTCGATTACCTAACTTTGCATTCAAGTGACTGTAGGCACTGACAATTGGATGGAAAGTTGAATGGCGAGTTGAAACGAAATCTTCCAGCCGACATTGACAGGAGCTGTATCTTGGCAAACCAGAGGCTGACAGAGAGGCCAAATACCGCTTGCCGATATCACGCAGCAAGGGCAATTTTCTTACGTTCAACTTTTGGTCCACATTTGACTGATGAATAGTTGACCCGTGTGAATTGGGCTACATGGTCAGAAGGTAGAAATCATATGTTCGCTAGAGAACAGTAGTTGCTGGCTGCTATGCGACTTCATTACATAACGAAAACGAACTCTCAGAGTAATTACATCAGACATGCAAAATGAGGGGAGAATGAAATGAACCGACTGTGGTATGTAAAGATGGAGAAAAAGAATTCAACGGCTGCTCCAGCGTCAATTAAGGAAATGAAAGTTCAGGATCAGGGAGACTATCAAGAGAAACCAGGGAAGTTCCGAGTCTAATTAAAGGATAGCGGATGAATTGGTAGAACTTATACAAAACAGTGGACTGGATTTACCTGCTTATGAGATAGAGTTAAATCCAACCTGGGCTAATTGAAACGAATAAGCAAACTTCACCAACTGATTATCAACACAAGAATTCACTCACTAAACATTATGGAAAAATGGAAACGGCACTACCTAGTAAAATTGAACACTTGGAGATAATACCCGATGACAGAACGTGTCACGAAATTAACTACGTACTTCCGATTTCGCGATCGACTGACAAATAGCTTCGAGTTTGGAAAATTATCTAATTGTCACCTCCTCTTTTACAATTGATAATAATACATATTAGGGGAGGGCAGTATGGAATCCAAAATCCAAAAATCAACTAAGCCAAATGAAAGTCCATTTCGTAGTCGTAGAGAACACAGTAGAGGGGGTGAGCTTTTTTGCTTTCTTGCGCTGTTTATAGAGAGCAGCACATACAGTGGGCAAATTTAATGGCGCGTAATTTCAAAAAACCTCTCTCAAAGTCTCTCTCGCACACGTTAGCGGGCTGCCTAGCTGTTTTCTACCTCTCTCGCACTCTCACGCGTCCCGCCAGGTGATTTTCTATCTCTCTCGTACACCGTAGCGGCCTCCCTGGCTGTTTTCTGTCTCTCTCGCACACCGTAGCGGCCTCCCTGGCTGTTTACTGTCTCTCTCGCACACTCACGCGACCAGCCAGGCGATTTTCTATCTTTGCACACTTAGGCGTCCTGCCTGGCTATTTTCTGTCTCTCTCGCACACATTAGCGGGCTGCCTGGCTATTTTCTATCTCTCTCGCACACTTTAGTGGGCTCCTGGCTGTTTTCTGTCTCTGTCAAACCCAGAGTTCTTTATCCTAAATATCCCGTATTTAATCAACTCATCGATCAGTATTCCAATGAAGCAGCAATTAGTTACATACAGACTCATACAGACGCGTGAGTGTGCGAGAGAGACAGAAAACAGCCAGGCAGCGCGCTAATGTGTGCGCGAAGGATAGAAAATCGCCTGGCCAGACGCGTAAGTGTGCGAGAGAGACAGAAAACAGCCAGAAAGCCCGAGAAAGTGTGCGAGAAAGAAAGAAAACAGCCAAGCGGACTTTCAATGAACCTTCAAGTTCGTTGATTCCGAACTTATACCTGGCCTTTTGGTATTCGATCTTAATAGCAAAAGACGCTGGTATTCTATCCCCTCATTTTGGCGAATACCGCAAATGGCCCGGCTTTTGTACAGGGCCGGATTTACTTGATTTACTTACTTGCCGCCCATGGGCCGCCCCCTTTTCATTCGTTTTAAAACATCAATAAAAACCATCAATAGTCCAGGCGCCTGGTAAGTCTACCTGGAATTTTGGGTACACAGCGATTTTTTTGGCCTACATTATGTTTTTTGGGTCGCTGAATCCGAATCTGAAGTTTCCGCACGCGTATCTGGTGAGCATTTTCCGCTATTTTGAAAAAATGGCCTAAAAAGGCCTTTTTTTGCGGTTTTTTTGATATAGCGGCTACGGATGAGGAAAAGTCCCGGATTTAGCTAATGTTTTGAACAGCTGACATAATTTGGAAGAAAATGGTATATAAATATGCTAGGTTTGCTCAAAAATTGAGGAACCTCGGATTTCGGAACTTTGGAACGCTTCGGAACTTGGCTGACCGCGGCGAGCCGGATCGCGCGTTGACGGGTGCGCCGCGAAAACGTGAATGGGCGCGATGTTCACGATGCTGTATCTTCCTCAATTTTCAAGCAAACCTAACATATGTATACACCATTTTCTTCCAAATTATGTCAGCTATTCAAAACATTAGCTAAATCCGGGACTTTTCTTCATCCGTAGCCGCTATATCAAAAAAACCGCAAAAAAAGGCCTTTTTAGGCCATTTTTTCAAAATAGCGGAAAATGCTCACCAGATACGCGTGCGGAAACTTCAGATTCGGATTTAGCGTCCCAAAAAACATAAAGTAAGCCAAAAAAATCGCTGTGTACCCAAAATTCCAGGTAGCCTCATTTTTAGCTACCAGGCGCCTGGACTACAAGTGCATGAACGTGCTGGAGGCGGAGGCGTTCATAAGGCGCGTGTTTACTCGTTTGGACAAATTTTTCCGGGAGCCCTGTCAACACTATACTAGCAAAAGTTCACGGAACTTGGCGCGATAGTTAAGTTCCGTAAACCTATCTCTATGTGGACAATGCCTTCCATTTATAAGAAATGAACGAAAAAGTAATGACAGAACAAACATAAATGTGGTTTAATAATTTTAACTTCCGCCGCCGACCGCTGCTGCACGCACTGTGTTTGACGCAATGCATGAAGTATTCATGCAGTCTTGTAGGCGCTATGCGTGCCGCCCGCTGCTGACCGCACTGTTTTTGGCGCAATGCGTGAAGTATTCATGCAGTCTTGTAGGCGCTAATAAGTGTTACATGCCGACCGCCGCGCCGAGGCGAGGGTTTCTCCGTTGCATCTCAAGTTCTCATCATCATTGTTCTCTGCGCCGCGCCGTTCCAGACCAAATTCCGTGTTCGGTTTCTCTCTTAGTCTTAATTCGACTAAATAAAGGTGCTGTCTATTGTATCACAGAAAGACGAAAAAATTAGAAATACACTCTCAGGAAATGAGAGATTTTGTCACCTTTTCTCTTTTGTAATTTTTTTCTCTGATTCCGAATTTTCTTCATAGCTACATTTAAAAAAATTGCAAAATTTGCCGCCATGGGCCCATGTGGCCATGTAGTGAGTGGCCACCCCCTAAATCCGGCCCTGCTTTTGTATCAGATCTCGGATCTGAACTCAAACCAGCTTACTAATTTTTGATAATTTGAGTGTGGTGTGACAATTTAAAATATCCATTTCTAGCTTACTTAAACATACATACGTACATTAAACCCACTTTCACATCGCTCTTTGGTGCTCTGCAGCACCCAGCTGCCTAAGTCTCTTATCCTCCCAAAGTCCCTCAGGGAGTTGGCACTTCTTGGCTTATTTATTCACAAGGAAACAAAATAACTTTCTGCTTAGAATTTTTAGAAAATGTTCTTTCAATGGAGAAGAAAAATAGCAGATATTCTGAATAACTTCAGTTAAGTAATTTGTTCTCTAATCAAAATAAAGCATAAATAGAGAAATCTGATAAATGAAATGATTATGTGGTTTCCATTCCAAGTCCAGGCATCGATGTTCATTGCTAGTTGAGAATAAAGAGGAAAAATAAAGGTATTACAATTTTTCTCATGTTCCATAATTTTATTAGATAGTAGCCTTTTTTAATTACATTATAGATTGAATAACAGAATGGTCTTATCCATGATTCACATCTAAAAAGAAATGTTAAACTCACTCCTTAAAAGAAACAGAACAGAGAAAACAACTCAGCAGGAGAGAACGAAGCAAACATCTGTTTGTCTGATTACACGATGAGCAAAGAAATAAGCCTAATGAGATAAAAAGAGGTTCTCAGACAAACATGCCGAAAATCAGAACTGGTTACATCACCTAAGACCAGAAAGTTTTTGCTAAAATAGAGCAAGCCTAAACTCCTTTCTAACAATAACTTCACAGTATACGATTGGCCTACACTACCAAATAAATACTAGAAAGTAAAAAATTATCTTAACCAAATGCAGTTGGAAATTTTTTTGAAACCATCGAGGTATAGAAACTTTTGGAATTTTCTTAAATGAAATATAGGCTTCATTAGATGCAGGGTTATTCTCTGAATTTTTTATCTTTTCTTTTTTAGAACGTTATTCAGTGCTATTTAGAAAAGTTTACACTACAGATATAAGATAGTTTACAATATTGAATAACTCTTCCAAAGACAAATTTTATCGATATTTCAAGCTGGGCTATGATCAGATGATGGAGATATACTTGGAGAATATTAAGAAAAGACGTGGAGAGATCAGAAGATTTACCCTAACAACTAAAATCCAAAAAGAGGTACCGCAGATGAATAATTCAAAATTTTAAAGCATTTTTCATCAATGGAAAGAAAGAAAATTCGATATTGAATGCATGAAAAGGTTTACTCATTTTTCTGGACCATTTCATAGATATCCTGTAAAAATATCAGGCTGTTGTCACAATTTTTTTCCTTCTAAAAAAAATCATCAAGTATAAGCAGAAATTTTGAAACATTGAAATTTGAAAAGTGGTTTTGAAGTTCAGTCATTGATTTAATTTAGCAGTTTCAAAAAGAAAAAATAAACATTTTTCTCAGCACCACACATCTAAAAATATTTCGATTCATCTTCTGGAAAGTGATGAGGATAATGTCTTACATTCCATCATTCGTTGAAGTGATAACTTAGAAATGTATTTAAAATAAAAACTACTACACTTTAATTGGAATTGTTTCAAAATAATAAGTTTACTTTTAGTCCCAATTCTTGCGTTCGTGAGGCACTCCTTCAACTGATATCGGTTTTTCTGGATAATTTTGTTCGATGAGAAGATGTCTACAGCAAGACAGCATCAAACTTAGATCAAAACTTTTCTCGCACTTTATTTTAGTGGCAGGAAAAAATCTTGGGATACTGCAAATTCTGATTGAAAAATCAAAAATGAGAAATGTGAATCACAGACGTTAACTAAAAACTAGAAGTATCAGTAAAAAATACAAAAATTTCAATTGTTAGCACATAATCTTACCAGGTATAGAGATACAAAATAGAAGAGGAGATATTGAAGGACAAAGGAAAAAAGAAAAAAGTAATACAATTTAAATAGTCAGGCAGTAATCTTACACATAGGTAAAGAAAAAGGATTGCCCACCAAAACAAGGGGAATGAACAGGGAAATTTCGTAATTAAATTTATAGCCCTTAACTGAAGAACCAATATAATATAATAGCGAATTCAAAAGGAAAAGTAGACAAAAAATGAGGAATTAAAATTAAAGTAAACAAAGTCTGGAAAGAATAATCCCTTGAATGAAAAATTTGCAATTTTTTTTTGAAAAACATAACTACTTGAAATAGAAGGTAAAATCAGATGGGAAAGCATTGCTGTGAAAACTAAAATTGTGTCTGTCTCCGCCATAGAAAGTCTGGAACATTTGTGTCGGGTCTATATCTGTAAAAAAAAGAAGGAAATCAGGCGTTATTATTATAAAGAAAAAATTGGCATTTTCAGTCTTTTACCTGGTGAACACTTTTGGCTGATAAAATTCAATAGAAAATATGAACATTTTGAGGTTTAAAAAACATTATACTGGCCTCACTAGAAAGTACATTAGATGAGACCGCAGCTGTTAAAGAGGAACCATCATGTCTCATTGCCTCTCCGCAGGATTCAATATTCCTAACAAATCCCTCGTCATGTTATCGCCTTGCCTAAGATATCACTGAGATTTCTATGTATCAGAATTCAGACTTTATTGCAATGACATACCAGGAATAAGTAAATATTTGTTATGCTGGGAAATTTTCGACCACCTTTTCACAATAAAAATTTAGATGTGTTTTGGAATTTTCTTCAAAGTGGAAAAAAGCGGACTGGATGTGATAAAAAAAACACCCTATCAGCTTGGAAGAAAAGACTTGAATGATTTGTTCTCGTAGATGGTACCTGCTGATTGCAGAGAGTAAATGCCACAAATGCAGATTTGACAAAATTGATTCTTCCTGAGCTTACTTCACCCACCAGCTTGTTTAAAAAAAATGCACTACCTCTCTCCATTGGTTTCATAGGGTAAAAGATTAAAGTACACCTGTCTCTGTAGAGGGATACTAGATCCAAGCACTAGCAGATCAATTTATTTCACACAGTCATACTGAAATGCAATCCAAGCCTCATATTTTCTCCTTAGCTCATTAATTAGATGGATGTAAAACTTACTGGTTGGACTACAAGCATCATCCAAATCCTGCCCACTGTCATAGCGCATCCTTTTGGTAGGGTCAGATAAGATACCGTATGCCTCACCGACTTCTTTGAACTTTTTCTCTTGTTCTTTCTTCTCATTCTCTGAAGCATTTGCATGTCGGTCTGAAAAGAAATAATACAGATTAATGGTAGCTGATAAAACTCAGAAAATTTAAGCTGAAAGATACTCTTCTACAGCAAACCTTTCTACGCAGAGAAAAATTTACAGAGTTGCAATTTGAAACAGATAAATGACACCGATTAAAACAAATTTTTGGCCACATAGGTACTTCCGGATTCAGTTACACACTCTGTTGAATGAACTTGTATTCTAGGTAAAATAAATGAGGTTTTAGGTCTGTTACACACAACTGATATTATGTACTAAGTGGACTTTTGATAGGAAAAATTGATCATAAATTGTACAAGCCCATCAGAAAAGTCTAGCATTGGGTAGTTTGAATGCTTTAAATATGTGTCACTAACTCTAAATTCTCCGTATTAATTGACATTATCCTAAAACCATCCACTTGGGATGCAGGAAGTAACTCAGGAATACAAACCTGGATGGTGGACAAGTGCTCTCTTTCGGTACGCCTTTTTGATTTCATCCGTCGATGCATTTTTGTCAATACCAAGAATTTTATAGTAGTCTTTTCTCTTTGATTTTTTCAGTGTTAATTTTGCATCTTCATACAAATTTCTGTTTTCTGTAAAATTAAAATTTACAGGGTCAAACTTTATGAAACTAACAAGATAGGGGTCTTCCTCAGGGTCAAAAAAAGGAGAGAGCAAGAGAGAGGAAAGAAATGTTCAATAATGAATCAGATTTAGTTGCGCTTTTCTTAAAATTACATTTTGATAACTGAGCTCCCTCCCCCAAAAGTTTTGTTTTGGTTTTTGCTTGTCTGGAGTTTGAATAGAAGCTTAATGCACGTTCAGGCGCCTTGGTGCATGTATCGAATTTGATGTATGCTTTTCCCTCAAATTGATCAAATTGTATGGGTTCACAAAAGTTTGGAAAGTTGCAATATGTGTTAAGTGGAATTACTTTGTTCACTCAATTAGGTCCTTCAAAGCTTGTATTATCTTTCCACAACTGTTTGATGATTTTCGTTTAGTTGGAAAAAGGTGAAAAGACTTCAACAATTCAAAAGAAAAGCACTTTAAAATAAAATACTTTAAAAAAAAAGCAGAAGTTGTAAAAGAGTGTTTGATACATTGCACATTTTACAGGTCTTTCACATTGGCATCATTTTCCCAAAAAGCTTTAAAGACTTGTACATATTTGTGTCCCACAAGACTTTTAAATGTTTTTAATTCAGAAGAAAGAAATACAGAGAGGTCCTGAAAATGTAGAAAAGTCTTACATGCAATCATATGGATGGCAGGAAAAATTTTAGTGGTCTTTTTTCAATTTTGAAATAATAGATTCGTTGGGAAAGGAGACAAGAAAAGCCACTCAATCAATCAGACTTTTAATGTTCCCTTCCCCTGGAATGATTTGAAATTTTGCACCAATTGCATTTCTCAGATTGTCAACAGCAATAGGCTAGTATTGCTAATCTCTACCTAAACGAAGATGAAAAGATGCGAAACTCTTGACCCTAGAAAATTCATTCCTCTTCCTACATTTCTACCCTCCTGGGCAGGCGTAGGATCGAAAATTTTCTGCATCACTGTCTCTAAATGAGAGAAAGATGGAATGAATGGCATGCTGCATGCCATTCGAGTGAATCAGTCATCCACTTGATTTTCTGAAAGGCAATACTTCCACTGAATTTATTAAACACATGTATTTGGGTGAATGTAGCCCATCCTTGTGAATCCATGAAAATCAAAAACAAAAAAACACAAATCTGAGACATTTACAACCCGCAAAAGTAAATAACCAAACTGTTAGGAAAGACAATTTTGAATGAAAAGCGATCAACTACCTCTAGTTTTCTCCTGTTTGTAGGCTTTTTCAAAATCAGCAACAGCCTTTTCATGTTCGTTTAGTCCTTGATAACATTGAGCTCTCCTCAGTAAAGGTTTCAGGTATGTCTCATCCAGCTTCAATGCTTGGGTACAGTCTGCGATAGCATCTTCAAGCTTGCCTAACTACAATAAGAATAAATTAGGATTCATTAATAGAGTATGTAATCATAAAAATATTACATAAAGGTAGATTATAATGTATCAGAAAGATGAATAAATATTGGAAGTGAAGGCTCTTTCACCAACTGAGGTAATGTCTTCTCACACGGTAAAATAAATTTCAAACACAAAGAGGAAAGAGAGATTTCTGGTTTGAAAGTTCGACATTTTCTCTGGATTGGCAAGATTTCAAGATTCTTGAATTTAACTTTAAAGAATAGTAATGCAAGTTCAGGGGCACAAAACTTACTTTTTGACTAACAGCTGCTCTGTTGGAGTAAAGTACAGCGTTGGCAGTGTTGAACAGTGGGTCCACTGCAAGCGCATCTGTGTATGCTTTGAGGGCTTCTGGTAGTTTACCGGATTTGTAAGAATTGTTTCCATCTTCTTTCAATTTTTGGAGTAGCTTGGCTTTCTGTTCGCAAAACAAAGATAAAATATAATTTTAAACAAGAGATGAAAAATGCTACTCATCGATTGTATGATGTTGGTTGAACGAAGTCAGTTTTGAAATCTGTGCAAGAGTGCAGGATTAATTAGTATTAATGCAGGCTCTTAATTAGATGTGCATAGCTTTGACCACTGACGATTCATGCCTAAGGCATGGGTGCAGAGTTTTTGGGAACGAAGGAGGATTTGTCAGTATTTACCAGCATCAGCTCCTTTCTATAAAGATAAATGGCTTTTGTTTTGACCGCATCTCAAGTCAAGACACTGCAGCCTTTTGCCTCGTTGTCATCCCAAAATCAATAAACCTGAGAGGACTTTCGCCAGCACTCATGCCCCTACAGTCCAGAGCTTAATGAGATGGGATGAGTTTTAACCAGCTGAATTCTCTCCTCATTTGAGGATGGGGATACAATGGGAAAGATGCTGATTTATATATCAATTAGAGCAAGGAATAGCTAGCCAATTACTAAGCCACATAACTAGCCTCCTCAATTATATTACTGATCAGTTGCTCATACCTCAGAGGTACGTGCACATTCTTGAATTGTACGGAGCACATAATATCATCCTTTTTTTCAATCCTTCAGTTCCCTCACTTATTTCAGGCTGTATTGGGTTTGAATGCACTTCACATAGATGACAATTCATTAACACATGAGTGATGGGATATTTTATATTGACTTAAACCTGCCTTCTTCTTATTAAAACCCTATTTGATGCACATTCATTATTGTGGAGAACCTTGAATCACTGACCTTGCAGTTGAGAAGTCTTGAGGTACCTGAATTTTTTACTGCACTTGCTCTCAAAATGTGGAAACAGAAAATGTTTCTAAAAATCGCAAACACTTACCTTATACATATCTTTGGATTTCTGGTGATCGGGTGCCAATCGCAGAACATGCTGAAAATATGGCAAAGCTCGGTCGATGTTGTTCTGGTAATACTGACAAAGACCAAGAACAAAAATAGCATCAGCATTCTGTTTATCCTGGTTCACAGCATCGTTTGCAAGTTCTTGGGCTTCCCCTGTACGGTTCAAGTATGCTAAGCATTCAGCTTTGAGTAGTTTCAAAGAAGTAGAGTGTGTCGCTTGTAACAGTGCTCTGTCCACATTGTACACCACCTAAGAGGTAAAATCAGGCATAAGTAACGACACTCATTTTCAAGGACCTACCTTCAGCTGGCTTCTTTAAAGCAGATTGACACCAAAAAATAGATGATGAACCTAGTGAATCTATCTAGTTTTGCAGGGAACTAGACAAATGCTACATATTTAACCCTAGCTCTCTCTAAAATATGGTCTGTTCTGAGAAAACTAACAGATAAAGAGGAGAGTTGGTGACCACTCAGATCAGTATTCGCATTGGGTCATTAAACGCATTAAACGCATTGGGTCATTTCACCACTCAGGAGTTATTGGAACCAATTACTTCTTTAACAACAGAAAAAAACACTAATTAACTTCGCCCTCAACAGCAGTTTCAGGGATGCACACTATAGACAAAATGCAGGGGTTGAAGGTGAATATATCTTGAGAGCACTAAGAGCCTCCTAAAACTGGATACTGAAAAAGTCCAAGTACTTAAACAGTCCTTGAATAAAGAGTTGGTGTACATGAGCTTAGTCGATATGTTGGTTGAAGACAGAAGTCGAATTACCACAAGAGGATTTGATTTAGTTTTTGACTAGCTATAAACTGCCGTTACAACAAAACGAAATTCTCTCTAGGTGACGGTTTGCCTATGAGATTAGATTTTCATGCTGGCAGTAATGATGACAACGGATGCAAACGTTGGCCGAAATTTATCAAGGAACAGAGTTTAGTTCTTGATCACCTCCAAGTTTTAGGAGCCGTTTGGCCCATCAAGTTCAATTTTTAGGGGCCATTGAAGATTTTTTGGGGGCCAAATTGGATTTTTGCCTATATACCATGGCGCATTTAGTGAAAAGTTATACGCAAGATGTACAGTTACAGGACTTGCAAGTTGCAACTTGCAGCCATTACTTGGGAGAGGGAAAGGCCAAAGGAATGATATTCCGATTTAAAACAAGGAGCTTTTAGTTTACTTAAAGTTTGTTCAATTAAATAATACTTTTTCTGACTTCCTATTATGAAAAGTAGTAGAACGATTCTATAGTATGCACGATAAGTAGTACGATTCTCGATCTGCTGAGCCGCTGCCGCTACGAAGTTCCGCGCGCAACTGCTTGCTATGCGCGTTCAGTCCAGGCTGACTGACAAAAATCTTGAAATCATCAAACCGTAATTTAGGATTGCGACAATTTTTTAGGGGCCACGTTTGGCGCAGGGTCTTCATTTTTTAGGGGCCATGGCCGATTTTTTAGGAGCATTTGGCGACATGGCGCTCGTGGGGTTGGAACACTGCTCTTGACTGCAGTAGAGCGTTTCTCTCCTCCAGTTGCAACCCTGGTCAAAAAAGTCGACCAAATCCACCCCTAGAAATTCGCCTTGACAGGCCTTAGAAAGAATGTTAGATTGTTGTGCCACAGCTCCTGAATTTAGGTGCCATGATGCTTTGCCACAGCAGTTCCACCCATACTTGATCACCTTTTACTATGGTTTTGCACAGATTTGAATACTGTCAATTTTGCACTGTAAACTAGAGGGTCCGTACGTGAAATCTGACTCTAAAGATACTCTAGTATAAACCTCGATTAAAATACAATTTTCAAGATTCTCTGATTCTTTTTCAGAGCACTATTACATTAATTGAAGGAAAAATTTTATGATGGAAGGATGAGGAAAGACCTCCTTAAATAATAGTGCATTGAGCCTGCTGTTAGGAGAAAAAGTTCTTACTGTTCTGTAATCATTTTTCTTAAGAGCTTTGTCTGCTTCTTGAATGAAGTTGAGTAAGGTATTTAAGTTGTTTCTCTCTGTTTTGATGGCTGCATTGGCTGGTTCTATTTCTTCTGCCTGTCGCAATGTTTTCTCAGCAGAAGCAGTATCACCGAGAGCTATGTAGCACTTAACCAACCGAAGATAACCCTGAAATCAAAACATTTGATAAGAATAGTTATCCATCATTAATTTTTTTGTTTATAAACTTAATTCTGCAAAGCTACTATTTGACCGCATCCTTTGACAAGACTAATTTTCAGGTTTTTTGAGATGGGCTAAAAACATGGACCAAAACTGAAGACTGAGAGTTGGACTTAATTGTGCGAAAAGGAACTAAAATTTCTGACCCATCCATAAAAGCACCTATGTGCATAGAGAAACTAATGGCACATACTTTGCTTCTGAAATGAGTTAAAAATTGTAGTTCTGCATTGCAAAATGTAGTCCAGTTGTACTTTACCCTAGGGAATGTCCTTTTGATTTACAGTAAGTTATGGAAAGAGTTTGTTTAAAAAATAGTAGCGATAAGAAGACCCTTGCCAATAGTTTTCGGAGTTTTCAGAGTTGGTGAAAATGAGCTGTTGTCATTGCATATCAGTTTTACAGGCCAAACAACTCAGCAGAGACATATGAGGCAATGATGATTAGGCTTGGAGTTCACATAGTTTTGATAAGGCAGTCCGTTTTTGACAAGAGCTGCCTTATCAGAATGTATCAGTATTTTAAAAAAAAGCAATACCCCATAAGTATAGACGAGGATTCGTTAGAATATCCTTCCACACTGTTCTTGAATGGATTATAAATCGAAGTTGGTCATGAGTGAACATTTTGAGTTGGAGAATCAAGAAAAGCGTTGTTTTAAGTTTTAAAGTAAGAATTCGAAATGTATTGTAGAGCCAGGAGAGAATAACACAGTTTTATCGTTTTTTGAGGCTTTTCCCCGGAAAAAGGGCTCATTCATGGCAACTATATCCTCCCTCATCTCCCTATCTTCTTGGATTGACCTAAATTTTTAACACATTATTCTCTGGTATGAGGTACGCCTTTCCTGAAATTTTCATGGGCAGGAAATTTTTTTTCCTACTATTGTAATATTGTCAAGTTCTAAACTTTAAAATTACAACATTGGAGCAGGGTCTTCCAACAAATTTTTTCATTAACAAGTTTCCTCACATTTATTATATTTATTTGTTCTTTCAAAACTTTAAGATTGCCGCGTTGCCATTTTACTGAGTTTTTACCAAGATGCGTGTACTGCATCTTGCTGCAACTGCAACTGGATTCGAATGAGTTAGGCTACAATTATGGTAGCCTTGTACGGGTGGACTTCAAACAACTAAATCAACAAACCTTCACAAATTTGGAGTCAAGGTCGACCGACTTTTTAGAATCCTCTAGTGCTCTCTTGTACTGGCCCATCATGAGGTAACAGGCAGCTCTGTTTCCATAGTAACAAGCAGCTTCAGGGCAGAGTTCTATTGAAACACAGAAAATTATTATTAATTCCAATGAAGAAGGTTTAAAAAAATAGTTTGCCGACATATATACGCACTTCAGCACTAAAGTTAGTACACGCACACACCTGAAGGCTCAATGATTGAAATAAATCTGTCTATGTATGAAAATAGCATGAGTTGACATGTGTACTTTTTACAATTATCTCTCCATCCGTGCAAAGGCTTACAACTGATGACAAATGCTAGATAGGAGGCATTCAAAATTGGGAGGTCCCAAGGGTCTGGGAGGACCAAGAAATACAAGGCACTTACAAAAACCATTTAAGACTTTACTGAACGCCACAGACATATTCTTAGACATATGTCTAGTGAACAATGGGCCTGTTGCATTTTGCTAGAGCAAAAATAAGAGTTGTTTCTCATGGAACATATCTCAAAAATCACGATGAGCGCATCGGCAAAGTCTGAAATGCACTCCTCACTTCACAATTTGCATAAGAAATTTGCGTTTTTTTGAGCTTCCTGCTTCAAAAACAATACCACGGCACAGGTGAACATTCCATTAGAGGAGTCATTCCATCTAACCCTTGCTCACAAGGATACTACGCAATATTCAACATAGCCAACGCCATTTTGCCAAAACACATGTGACAGGACGATGTTTCTAACCACCTGATAACTATCGGTGTGGTAAATATCCGCCTTGATTGACCTCGTGCTATCCTCAACTTAAACGCGGAAGAGTCGGCCATGTTGAGCAAGGATTGAACGGAACAACTCCTCTAACGACATGCTCACGTGTGCTGTAGTATCCTTTTTGAGGCGGGAAGCTTAGGAAAACGCAAATTTTTTGCGCAGATTGTGAAGTTAGGAGTGCTTTTCAGAGTTTGCCAATGTGCCCATCGTGATTTTTGAGACATTATCTATAAGGAACAACTCTTATTTTTGCTCTAGCAAAAGTTTGTAACAGGCCCCTTTACTTTTTCTGATCGCAATTCGTTTTTAAATATCCCTTAGCCAGATAGACTTACCCATAAAAAAATCCCAGAGGGGTGTGTTGTCCATCCAAAGCCACTGTCTCAGTTTTTTAACAGGCAGTTTTTTATTTGCAAAGGAGCTTTGGCATAGAGCTATCCCAGCATCAGTCTCAATATAGCAATATTTAATCCAAAATCATCCTTGAGACAGATGGGCTCTTTAAGAAAAAAAAAAAAAAAAAAAAAAAAAAAAAAAAAAAAAAGACGTTCCAAGTAGATTTTTCTATCCTGATTCATGACACCAATGAGTTTTCAACATTCCTTGATACTTTACACCCCCCCCTCCCAAAAGGGTGAAATGTTAGTAATCACTTACTTATAGCTTCATTGTAGTGAATTAAAGCTTTGTCATATTTCTTCCGCTTGAACTGATTGTTCCCTTGCTCTTTTCGAGCTTCTGCTGATCGGCTGGAAGAAAAAAGTTGACATTGTTAAAAATAAAATTTTGAACTGAGGATTTTATCAAAATTGAAAACTTCTGTTTGTGATGAAGGTGAACTTAAAATCAAAAAAATGTCCACTTGTTTTCTTATCTCATTAATTCCCTGAGCAAAAAAATTGTTGAGGGAGGGAAGTACCGATTAAGAAATTCGACTTTTCAAAATTTTTCGAATGCCTGGAAGCAGAGAGATTTACTTAACCGAGGAATTCTGTTTTTCAGAACTCTTCTGATTAACAAATTGTTTAAAGCTTTCACCTTTCTTTAGAGCAGACGCATTGTATATTGAGACAAAGGTCAAGTATTGTTTAGGTCACCACTCATCAGTGGTGCCATCTGACTGCATGTATTAAGCTGTTGAGTGGTGCTGATTCGGAGGTGATCAGAGATTGACATTTATCTCAACATACGATGCGTCAGCTCTAGGAGGTTTCCTATTCTGATACTTTGATTTGATACTTGGTTTTCAAGGATGACTCTGGTTTGTTAGCTCAAATTCCCCAAATAAAAGTTCTATAGGTATAGACAATCTGCATACTCGTCTGCAGGAAAAGAGGGCAAACGCAAAGAAAAGGAATCAAAGGAAAGCACAATTCACACTATGCTTAGGATCTGACCTGACAAATTCTACTACTTAATAGTTATGGTCCTCCACTTGAGGCTGTATAGATAATTAGGGATACGGAAATTTCTCTGCCTTTGTATTTTTTAAGTTGACCTTCCCATTATCAAAACCCTGTTTTTCGAAACAAACTAATGCCCTTAAATCCCCCTTGAGTACAAATCACCACAATTACACAGGATATTTCCACTACAATGATTCAAACACATCTGATTTTCACATTGATTTCACAGAAAATACACAATGTATGTGCACGTAAACGTGGCCCTTTCACTTTAAAAACCCGCTTATGGCTCTTCCCATTTTCTGTCACAACCAATCACCAACTGCCAGTCAGATGGTCCAGAAGTTATTGAGCCCCTGGATATGACAGCCAACCTCTTGAGGCACTTACTGAATTGTGGTGGGTATTATTAATGAAGATACTTCCATTCCATGACATCGGAATAGTGAGTTTTGATTGGAGAAGTTCATTAGACTTGAGTTCAAAAGGGGAGGGGGAATCTGTAAAATTTATGGAAAAATATCATTTGTCAATACCATTAAGATAAATTCCTGACCTGACTGAATACGAAAGCACAGGATTAACTTTTCATGGAATCTGCAGATTCACAGCGTGGGATTAAGAATTAGCAAGAAGGTTCGACAGATAACATGGGTATGCACTAGAGTTTTCTGCAGTCTAATCTCGAACAATCATGCTCCATCCAAGTTAGAAACGGAAAAAGGAAAAATAAGATTAATGTTCTGGCGTGTTGCTTGTGGCTCAGCGCCAAGTGTTAACGAGTGCTAGGGATGACCCCATCAATAGGTTGCATTGCATTTTCAATGGACATTCTTTAACCTCAAAAAAAAAATAAGCCATTTCGACAAATTTAACAGCGTGTAGAAAGTGATTACACCGTACGGTCTTGATAGTTAGAGATCTTCGTTCATTTGAAAGTACTTACTTATCGGGAATGTCCGAGGGCAAAACCACAACATCGTCATCGCCGTCCGCTACTAGGTCGATAGTTTCAATCGGGACTGCCATTCTTGCTGTTCGAACTGACACAATTGTATTAGGAAAACTACCGACTAGCACAAAAAATAAGTAATCAAACAGAGCTGGAAGGATAGATTCCCGAGCTGCGGACAAGAAACTTCGAAAATTCAGGATTAGTAGTCCCACATTATTATGATGGAAGATGGAAACAGGACAAGGACCTGGAAAACAAGAGGGCTCCGTAGAGTCAACGACAAACAACATCGATGTATTGCAGTGTTGCATGCTTGCATGTCATCTAAATCAAAGCGTTGATGAGCTTTCTCAGAACTTTTACGACTTTTACGGTCCTATCTTTGCATATAATTGAAATGCAGCTAAAAGTTATAGGTATCTTATCAAAATTTACTCTGCAAAAATGTATTTTTAATTACTGACATCATGGTAAATGCGGAAGATGGCAAATAATATATTGACGTTTCGAAAGCTCATAAAGTGTAACACCGCCCATGCTTTGCCGGTAGTATCAACGTAGAGAGCAGGAGTAAAGCTCAAGTTTTGTCATCTAACGAGCAGACAAGCGTAGCGGAATATAGCAAAGAGGTCTAAGGTTATTTTAGTTGATTTTAGTACTTAGTTGTTTCCAATGTTTATCTCGCGATGTTAAAAACTAGAGATATTTTACCAAATTTCTTTGTGCTGCTTTTCGAAATCTGTGCTTCCTTATTGTTGTGAAGAACAGTTTTGTTTTGAGTGGTTAAACTTTCCAATTGTTCGCCAAATGTTCCAGTGAAGTATTTATCTCCAATCCATATCTCATCTCACACTTTGTAGTGGCTCTAGATCCACTTTTCAACACAACCGGTCAAGGATACACAATGTAAAGGTTTTTCCCTCATAACTTCTTCCAATAATTCCTTTTGTGTTGTCTTTTATGCTAATCTGTTTTGATAATGGCTATTACTCCCCAAAATTTGCCACTCATTGGATTCTAGTACCTCAGGAGGCAAGAGTAACCGAGCAATGCGGAAAATATTTTTTTCAACTTTCATGTACATTTGTCTTCCAAATTATGCTAATGGCAGGCTGAAGCTAAGTAGAATGCACAATATCATTCTCTTATCACCATGATGATCTACATATTGAAGATTTGACCACATGAATCTCTGATGTTGAACCGCAGGCTTTTTGCATGAGAGTGCGAAGAACTACTCCAAAGGGCTTAAATAGCCCCATCCTCTAATCTGAAGGCTCTTTTCACCATTCAACATTTGCATCAATCATTTTAATTAGTCTCATCATAGATAATTCTTGAATGGCCAAAAAATATTTTATCGAAAGAATCCATTGCATTCTGAAACCAAACCAAAAAATAGAGTCAAGTGGACAGTTGCTCTCTATCAGTTTGTTACAACTTTCGATAGTTGTATCGCGCATTTGAGCCTTTTAGTTTTGAAAGCTCATTATACACTTTCATCTATCTGCAGTCACCAAATCTGCCGTGCATGTCATGAGCGTTGTTAAACCAATCTGTTCAGGACTGTTTGGACATTAGTTAACGGGATGCCAAATGGTCAGCATTGTTGAACCCTGTTTGACTTACCTGATGACTTACATGTACTTTTAAAATTCCAACGTTTCTACCAAACTCTCATCCATCCCGGGAAGTCAATGGGACTTGGTGAGTTCAGTGAAGTGAACAGAGGAACCAAACAGTATTGGATAAGTTTAGTTTAACAATGCACCTTACATCAATAGTACCAAATATTTCTATCAAGCTTCTACCTAAGAGCAGAAAGATCTTTTTTAAAGTTGCTAAAAAAGGAATGTTCAAATTTTTGCCAAGCAATGAATCCAGCTCATCCTGAGAATATTCAAGCTGTAATATTTTATTCTGATAAATATATTTTGTAAAAGTACCTAGATGTTATGTTTGGAAAGAAATTCACTCATATCTTAATTTTAATAACCCAGCTTAGCCGAGCTTCTGGATCTCAAATTACGCCTTTTCTTCTCATGTCAGTGACAGCATCAATAGCGCTAGCTCATAACAGAATTCTCAACTTTGAACAGTTATCAGGTCCTTGTGCAGAACAAATGAATCAAAATAGTATTAATGTGTTGGCTTACCAGTTATTAGGCATCTCATAACTTCATAGAATGATCTAAAAGAGGTGAAGAGGGAGAGCGAATTGAGTCTATTCGCTGATGATTTTTCGCTAAATTAAATTACTGTATTTCTCTTCTTGGAGAGGCAAGTAGTAAGGATATTTTTTTTTTGAATGATTGGCCTTTGTAATAAAGAGAATAGAGATTTATAAAAGGGACAGAATTCTGCCATGAGATACATACTAGAGTGTGATAGGGGAAATAGAATAATTGATATGCTGGAGAATCTTGGCTGGCTAACAAGTGCCTCTTTTCCCAGCGTCTCAGACACACAGTAAAGTTGTAGGCACCAGTCCTACAACATTTATAATGTTATGCTCTATAATATGAATAGATTTTTTGCGCTCTAGGTTTATTCCTCGGAGGATGTAGATTCCACCTAAGCTGAAACAATGGGTAATAAGAGCAGTTGTTGCTCGTACTCCAGCCCTCCAACAAGAAGAAAAGAAGTGAAGCCTAGCTTTGATGAACATTTGCAAGAAGAGAGTGTGGGAAATCTCCAACATATAAGTGAGAGAGAGCCGGAGGATTGGGATACAGATCCTTCTCTCCATCCTAAAGCAGCCACCCTCTTTTTAGAACGGTCAAAAGTTGAAAGTAAGTTCTCCTCTGCATCAATTTTCTTTATCTTTTTTCAACTCTCTTTTTTCAATTATCACATTTTATAATTGGGTTTGCCCATTGGAAATCAAATAAATAAATTATATTCCTGGCTGTAGCATCTATCGGGTTTATCAAATTAAGTCTATAATGAATATACCCTCTGGCTAAGCTTCTACGAACTGTTCCTCTATCTTTATATACTTGGTCATATCAAGCAAAAGGCTAGCTGTAGTCAAACTTTATAAATGATCGAAATTTGAGAAGTATATGCTTGCCGAAACATCAACATAGATCAGACAAATTATTAGACCCTCCCATCTGCCTCTAGTCTCAACAATATTTACCCATGTTTCCTTTCTTTGGGAGAAGAAAGAATCTAAAAGACGTCATCCTTTTCTGGACCGTCAAAAGGCGTTCTCGAGCGACAATGGCTATTCAGATCCACAGCAAAAGATTGCAGTAAAAATGAAATATAATAAAAAAGAGAATAAAAAAAATTTTAAGTGTGCACTATGGAAAAAAGAGAAGAAACTTGAAGAATTGTGATGGAAAAAAAATAAAGCAATTTATAATCCCTGCAATTATTTAAAAGTAGTGCTACAGTGCTTGTAGCCATTCACTGAATGAGAATGAAAGCTATAGAAAATAAAAATTTTAGGTTTAGGAAATGCAGGAAAAATGGAAAGAGAGTCAACTTCTACAAAAGTCTGAAGGAGAAACAAGAGAAAATAGAACAAACAAAAATCTCCGGAAAATGGAAAAAACTTTTTTCAATGTCAATTGAACTTTTGATACTTTCCCTGTAAAATTATGCCAGATCAAATCCTGCTCTCATTTTTACTTTATCTTTACCCGTCATCAATTTTTCATGGAAAGCAAAAGTGAATGCTAGATCACATTTTACAATTATAACTAACCCTTCTATTTTTATTTTGCTCTTTGTTTCAGATGGACTCTCTAGGAAAAAAAGTGTGAATCATGTAAGTCTTTAGTATTTTGGCATTAGCTTCTTTGCTGTGCCCCGATTTCACCCAGCAAGATGGATTTAGTATCTTTTATCTTTCTTATCTTGAGTGTCACTTAATATTTCTTATTTATCTCCTCAACTCCCTCCCCCCCCTTTTTTTTCTTTTTTCTTTTATGCGGATAAATTTCTTTACTCCATTTTTCAGACATAATAGTAAATGCTGCTTTTATCTTCCGCTGTCACTGAAAAGGGGTGCTTCATTTTTTCATGCCAAGTCCCATCTCAAGATACAGTCACAGTATTATTTTGGGTCAGAAAAAAAGTCAAATATATTTGTGGCAGGCTTGCAAGTTAAGAAAATGGCAAACATTTGCTTCAAAGGCCCAGAAAAAATGTAACATACTTACTTAAAGTGTAAGCAAATGGCTCAACTGAATGGACTGTTCCAAGAAGAGTTTAAGAAAGTGATTGTGAGCCAAATTTAAGAAATAGTATTTTTCTTCTCAGTTCTTTTCTTCGTGATTAAAGTTCAAATATCATCAGTTTATCTTCTTATCCATTTATTTTATCGACATCAATCAAGATCAGTCTAGCAACACTATATTTTGCCTAATTTTCTCTCTTGTCATAGTTTTTTAAAAGAAAACCAAGTAACATTCATTCTACTTTGAAATCTTGTGATTATTCTGTGTAATTCAGGTGAAATTTATAGGAAGTCTCAAAACATCATTGTGCTTGAACTTTTAGGTACCTTTAAAAAAAAGAGAAAAAAGGAAAAGAAGAAGAAAAGAAGAAAACAAAAGTATGAGAGAAAATCAGGAAACATAAAATTTAGTCTGGCTGGTTCTTGAAAATTCTGTTCATTTTAAAGACCAATAAATCCCTCAAAATTCTGACTCAATTGATTTTTCTCAATGCTTGGCAAGGGGCAAAGATGCTGTCAGAATTACAAGTGATTTTTTAGTACAATTTGAAAGAATTTGACCAGAATCATCCTAACTGCATTTCTTCGCGCACAATTTCCATCTTCTTAAATGCTGTATTTTTTTTAACAAAAAATCAAGCAAAACTAATTCTTGAACTTCAGCAAATTTCCAATATTTTTACACTCACATACTTGCAATAAGTCAGAATGCTGCTTTTTTCCCACTAGAAAATCTGTCCAATTAGTGTTCCATCTGATGCAGCAAAATTGACTTACTGATGACCATCAAGAAAAACCTGAAAATTCTGTTGACGCCCGGTGTCTCATTAAATTTTTATTATAAAACATCCACATTAGCTCAGTTTTTTCTTGTGAATAAAAAAAAGCTATGCATGTGTCTTAACCCCTTAATATTCTAAAATCCTCTACTGCGAAAAGGAATTTCATGAAATTTGCCTCTTAGATTTGCTATGAGAATCACAAATACTGATGAATGCTCAACCCACTGCTTCTCATTCATTATCGTTTTCTTGCAGTTTTGCTCTATTTGTGAATGTTTTTCTCTCTTGCAGATCGCAGATGTAAGGCCACTAAAGAAGAGCAGCTCGTGCTCCACAATCTATCTAGACGATAGTACAGTATCTCAGCCAAACCTAAAAAACACAATAAAATGTGTTTCTCTTGCTATTTACTATCACATTAAAAATCGCACATCAGAACGGTATATGGAAATATTCGACGAAAGGCTTCATCCTTTAACGGTAAGTCATTAAACCCAGCAATACGGTTTTCTTAGTTTTCTGAAATTAACAGAATTAAAACTGGAAATTAAACGTGTACTGAAGCATAGTATGATAATGGCCTAAGATAACAGGAATGGCAAAGTTTGACACTTGACAACACATGACAACTTTTTTCTCCTAGTATTCCTCATGCTTTGGTTTCAAAATAGCACGATACTGAGGAAATGTGCGGAAAAGTGGCCTTCAGGGGTAAGCAACTTCCGGCCCACATGACTTGTTTCGGCCTCATCAGGCGCCAATTGCATAAAATGAGAAAAGCTCCCTAGATATGGTATATAATGGTGGGAACCTGTCAGTATGCTTCAAAATTGTCTGCTTTATGGCAATTTAGACTTAAAAAGTCCCATCTGTCAAAACAAAAAGTTTTTTTTCTTCCTATTCACTTCATGTCCTCAGGGGGAACTTCTCATGTATTGAAATCAAAAACAGGGGGAGGTCAATTGAATTTTGGGGTAAGACCTGGAAGTTCTTGCTCACCTGATGGTCTCACCTAACTTCTCTGTTTTTTGTGTATGTAAGGGTGTGTGTGTGTCTTCCTGACAAATTCTTTCCACCTTACTCTTATAATATGCGTCTCTCTAAACTTACTCTCTTTCCCACTTTTTCAGAGGGACAAGGTCCCAGCAGACTATGATCGACATAATCCTGAGCACAAGCATATTTACAGATTCATTCGGACTCTGTTCAATGCTGCTCAACTTACGGCAGAGTGCTCCATCATTACACTGGTATATTTAGAGAGGTAAAAGACTTTAAATGTTATATTTTATCACATTCGACAGTGCCCAGGGCATAACCAATATGAACTTGCATTAGAAAAACACGAAACATTAAGAAAAGGATAGCAATGATAACGAATGATACCAACAGAAAGTTGCCTGATGTATTTCTAATGAATGACTAGAGGTTCGTTCATCATGATGATAAGAGGACTGGTATAGACAAGATGAGGATTTGCCTCTTACTGGCTGTGGGAAAAAGGTGGGCTCTTAAGGCACAGGCCTGGATTACAAGATTTGTGTACATGAACTTTGTCAATGTGTTGATGAAAGAGGGTCCAACTCTTTCATTATAAATCAAAACAGAGTTAACAAGATTCTTGTGAATGAGCTTTGCTAACAAGTTGGGTATAGGAAGTCTCATTTTCACTTCACAACTTGAGGACTTTTTTTCATTATGCTCTGCTGCAACTGCCTCGCCACTAATTGCTCTGATTTATTAAGATTTTTTGTGATCATTTAAGCTGTTGAAATGGCATGTAAGTTTGCAAGTGTTTTCAACTGTATGCTCAAATAGAGCACCTTTAAAATCCTTGGTTGAGCTGGTAGATTTGTGGCTCGAGGTCATTTCAGATTGCTTTGCGTAAAACTATTTAAGTACTTATCTGGGTATATCACCTCCTCAGTGCAGTTGGCTCGCTTTTCAAATTTTCGTCTTGTGCCTGTGTTGAGGTGCCTTTTTGAATTGAGTTCTTAAGAGGAGATGAGATGAGAGAATTGATATCCTCTCCAATGTTTTACAAAACAAATCATTTAGATTTTAAAGATTAAGGTATGGATTGACATAAGAAATGGGAGACTCTCCCATTGAAGCTTTCAAATGGTGGAACAAAATATGTGTCTTGAAATTTAATTGTTCATTCTATTTGTTTTCAATCTGTAGATTGTTGACTTATGCAGAAGTGGACATAACGCCTGGCAACTGGAAGCGCATGGTTCTGGGTACAATACTCCTTGCTTCTAAAGTGTGGGATGACCAAGCTGTTTGGAATGTTGATTACTGCCAAATTCTTAGTGATATGACTGTTGATGACATGTAAGTTTTAACTTCCCTCCTCTATTCCCAAACTGAACATGATTAGTGAAGAATTTCTCTCTGCCTTTCATGTATTTTGTAGGAATGGAAAGAGTGTCCTCAGACTGCATGAAGCAGATTTGGGGGCCACTTTCCTTTGATTGATTGTAAAGGATTAAATTAATACGTGTAAGAGAGAGAGGTAGACTAAGGAATTGTGGGAGTTCTTGCTTCCGCACAGCTTCCACAAAATCGCTGAGATAACTGAACGGATAAAATTATTGCCAAAACAACAATAGTGATAGACGGGCGGGGTGACAGAGGGAGGTAAGAGTTAGGAGTAGCGGCAGCGGTAGCTGGAGTGGCCGTGGCATAGGTGGTGGAGGGCTCCAAGCCAGCAGGGAGCCAAGGGAGCAGGAGACGGCGGGAAGTACAGGAGCAAGGGCGGCAGGAGGAAAGCGGGGAGTGGAGGAAAACCTGGTTTGGAGACGGCAGGAAGCATGTGAGCGTGCGTGTCTGGAGGGGAACGGGTAGTGGAGGAGAAACTGGTCTGTGGCATGTTTAGCGTGACACCCTCAGTGTGACACGGCACCATCATGATTTTATACTATAGAGTAAGATTTGTAGAAATAGAATGAGGAGATGTGTAGCACTTTTTCCAGGTCTTCCAAACAATGCAACCAAACATAACCTAGTACACAAAATTTCATATTCCATCAGTAACTCTTCTGTTAGACTAGCTTACCTCAAGTGCATTCTCCTCTGTTTACTAGTCGTGTGCGATAATGAGGATAGCATCATAACCATAGAATTAATCGTTCAACAGAGCCCATTTCATGATTAATTCTGTGCAAAACTCTCATTCAAATAAGAAAGCAGTGTGTTGTAACAAATGTATACACTATGCCATGAATCTCTCATGACTGAAATATTTGTTTCCAATGCTTTCCGTTTGTTGCACTCAAAATTTTGTAACCCCCATAACTTCATACATTTTTTCTTTGTTTAGGAATGAACTGGAACGGCAGTTTCTAGAAATGCTCCAGTTTAACATCAATGTACCTGCAAGTGTTTACGCAAAATACTACTTTGATCTGCGGCAACTGGCAGAGGATAAAGATATAGCTTTCCCGGCAGAGCCATTGAGCAAGGAAAGAGCACAGAAATTAGAAGCAATGTCTCGTCTGTATGAAGATAAAGTCAATTCAGAAATCGTAAAAAATGATCTGAAAAAGTGGTCTAGTCTAGATAATGTTAATTCCCTAGCAACTTCTCGAAGGAGCATCGCTATCTTGTCATGAGTTTTAGTTACTGTTCCCCTGTCTATGCCGTGTTCCCTTCATCATTACATTCCGAAGAATTCGGTTCTTTTTTTTTCCGTAACTTTTTTTAGTCGATGTGATATGTTTGTACTCTAAATGTATTTTATGCTGCTCAACTTTGCTAGTTGAAAACGTTGTGGGTGGCTGTCGGTGTGAAATTTGAAGTGCAAAGAAAGCTGGGCAAAACAAAGACTGATAAACTGAGTTCTCTGAGACTGTCCGAAATTTCTTCATGCTCAATTTTGTCAAATTTTTCAGGTACCCAAGGGTAGTCTTCGCTTTTTAACTCAGTGTTGATATGAACTTGACCCATCAGTAAAGAATCATCAAGGTATTGAACAAAGCATGCCGAAATATTGATATTATTTTAAATTTTAGCCAAAAGTAAAAACCATTACAGCTGGAAGTATGTTACACTAGTCAACATCTGAAAAATCCCCTCTGATAACGCCAAATTGAAGCTGAAATTGTTCCAACATAAAAATTCTGTCTTCCGCATTTGCCCACTTTTGGCTTTAACTAAGGGGTTTAGAAAGAAGAGTTTTTAGGAATCGACAGCTGTAGCTATTGGTATAATCTGTCTGTTTTTTAAATAAAAATTATCCGTGGCATTCCTATTTTTGTAAAACTAGTTTAAGATCTTGATGCTTGTATACTTCAGGTGCAGATTCACTTTCAACCTTGACAAATTTAAAATGGTCATTTTTCGGGCCTGTAAAATTCAGTGTTAGTGCATTCAAGTGAGCGCCATTTAGGGTAGCAAGCATGCAACAAACACTGGACAACCATACAATGCATTGATCTAACAATTGGTAACAGTAGTAACACTGATTTTGTGCTTTCATTTGGCAGATGTAGTTCTTTCAGCAAATCCTAGAGTACATTCATTATTAGAGAAGTAGCTCTAAATGAACATGGGAAACTCTGTTAAGTGTCGAGAGACCCTCTTGCTTCTATGATGCATCTTTAATCGAAGAGGGTTTCCTGTCAGTGATTCACACCATGCTAAGGACTTAAAAAGTGAATTGAAAAATTGTGTTTTACTTGACGAGCTAATTGTGATAAAGCCCTTCACATTGAATTTATCTGAATCACTGGTGCACAAAACTAATCTTGGGGTACAGGCAATCTCAAGAACATTATTTAAGAATCCATTAAATAGAAATTATCCCTTCATGCCTGCAAGAGTTGATGTCAAGCATCATGTTTCCACTGCGTTTCAATCAAACGTTTCTTGAAGTTGAGATGGGATTGAATTATGGAATTGATCGGAGTTGTGACCAATCAAAGTAGCGAGTATTGCCTAAGCAATCATGTTCTACAGTGTTACCTAGGAATTTTATTTTAAATGGTTTGTGACAAATTTTATTGCCAATATTTCAGTTCTGTATTTTAACATAGGGCAAAACTCTTTTCCTTCTTTCCACTACCCAGCCTTTTTATACTCAGGAATTTTGAATAGAATTTCAAAATTTTTAATCTTCAAATCCCATTCTGTACCAAGTATCAACAGTTTTACACAATTTTCTAAAACTCATCTCCTCAGTTTAAAATATAAAAAAAGCTAGTTTTTTTTGTTGAAATTTTTGTGCGTATTGAGTTTTCTGTCTAATAACAAAACATCGTAACATATTAACATTATTGTGTTTAGCTTTTGAGTGTTCAATCAAACATTTGTCTCTTTATCCATTTGAAGAGGTTTATTTGATAAACTTCTCGGTCTAAAGTAAACAACAAGATATGGAGTTTGCTGAATAATTTTTAATTCCTGCATTCCTAACTTTTTTAATGCCATTTTTATTTATTGATGTAAATTACTTCAGAAGTTGCGATTTTATAAGCTCTGGTTTGATATGAGTTGAACCTTAGGAAACCAGGATATTACTTGGAAAAGCCCCTTTAATGACGACCACGTCCTCCATGTTAAGTACCTTTGTCGCAAGTTACTCCGTGTACTATGTGTGCAGCAGCTTTTTTTCTTACTTATCGACTATGAGCTGCAACAGTGGTGCTCTGCACTTAAGAGTGTGGCGTTTTTTCTAATGAATTTGGCAATATTTTCCTACCTCTCTTGATTTTCTAGGTTCTGCTCTTTTTACATAGGTCCTCATAAATTGCAACATGGAGAATTTTTTTCTTTAAGTAAAAACCATTAAAAAAAAATTCAGGAAATTTTTTGTCAACAACGTGCACTTCAGGTGCACTTTGGTCACCATGCAGCAATTAAAAATTACCAAACTACCTCATGCATCACATCCTAAATGAACATCTAAGAAGATTTGTTTAATTTTCATCACAATAATCAAAATGTATTAAAATCGTTAATAGTGTTGCCTGAGGATTTTAACAGAAGCATGTAAAATTCTTTATTTACTCAAAACACCTCAAGATTATTGGTATGGAAGGTACACTTTGTCACTCTTGTCCGTGGATTCAACAATTAATTGTTACGCGCCCCAAATTATGGAGTTGATTAAATTAAGACAAAGATCCTTAAAATTTTGAAACACTGCGCGTTCACATGCGTAAATTTAGAAAATAACTTGTCTTGAGTACAAATTTCCATTTTTGCTTTTGTCTTTTACCAGTTTGTTCATTGCATTAATCACTGTTTTAATAACTGAACTGATAGGAATTGGATCGGAAGTGTTATGTTAACCAATGAACTTGTCAACCTGTCTTGCTGCCTTATATACTTTGCTTAGTCAAATTTCAATAAGTCACAAATTTCTCTTAAATTATTTATCTTTGTTACATGAGTAACATAATGAATCTAATGAACTATTATCCTTTCAATTCTAAAAACGGCGTATGTCTCAAATGCAGATTCATTTGACGTTGCTAAGAATGGATCTAACTTCAAAGAGAGTTGGAAAAAAACTCTAATCTGCTGAAGCCCCATACCGGACTTTAAGTTATCCGTGAAAAAATGAATAGATTGGTTCTTTTTGGTAATGATGTCATATCTGTTTTGCATTTGCGTCATCAAAACTGAATGCATTGTGGAATAATTTTCGGAATTTAGTTAATCAAGTCAGCTGCTAACAATATTGATGCAATATTGCTTTTTACTTTTTCTACGTTCACCCTCTATATTTTAACTGCTATTTTTGTAAATACATATTTTTAATCTTGTAAGTACAGCAAGCTTTTTAGAAATTTTTAATCAGATATTTTCAAGTACAGATGTATATAGGAATGTAAAATTTATCACGTGCAACCTCTTGGAAAGTGAAATTATTTACTTCCTTTTCTTTTAGCCTTTACCTTTATGAAAGTTTTTAAACAAAATAAATAAATTAATAAATAAAAAATAGTCTGTCAATATTTTAAATTTTAATTGTTTTCCTACCGAAACTATGTTTTTAAGGAGCGAATGAATAAAATTTGCTGTTGATATTTTTCTGTGTAACAATCAGCAATTTATAAGAAAACCACCTCATTTTAATTGTTTACTTCCTGAAGGGTTTATCAGTGTTTACTTACACAAATGCTTTTTTTAGAAAGTTCAACCATTTGAATAACAAATATTTCCCGTTTTTTTAAGGTAACTCTCTGATAATACAAACTTAAACCCTTTCTGAAGTGAACTCTCCTAAATTGGAGAACGTAATCGAGCAACTCGCATAATTTAATGTTCACTCTTCACTGCTAAAAAAGCTTTCATTTCTTGTAATTAAAAAAAATCATCTAGTCTAATTTTTGAAATTCAACCATTTATTTGTGTTTTTCGTCAAATTCTCACTATCATATTGTGGCATACTCTTCCTTCTCTTTTCATAACTCAATGAGAAATTTACCAGTATCTCTCCTAATTGTTCAATTTTCTTTTGTTCCTACGATACCCAAAAAGTCATTCATATGTATTCAACAGAGATCAAATAATTTTTGATCGGGTATTCAAAATTGATCAAAGTTTATTGTTTAGTGACTATAAATGGGGGAATGTCTCCACCACCTTCCTGTCAATTGCGTTTACTTGATAACTGTTCTTGTTGGAATTTGTCATCTCCACTGGATTATTTTGTTTGTTTTTGTTTTGAAGAATTGGGGCTCTGCAGATATCGACGGTGAAACTGCACAAACACGTATCTTGGTTTATAACGTTGCAGATTTCCTATCTTACTTTATTTTGAAAATGGAAAAATTCTCAAAGTCACTCCTTAAAAACTTCCACAATTTTTCTGCTCTGTCTGCGGAATGTTTCATGAAAGTTTCACGTAATAACATCGGTTTGTTTTCTTTGATTAAAGAACATTTGGAGAGTACGCGAAAGAGATACGCGTTCCTGCAGTTTTATCCACGATATGCAGCCCAACCCCCAGTCAAAAAGTCGGGAGAAATAGTTGTGCCATATTTAATAAATTCTTGTGCAATTTTGAATTTTTGAGAGAAAAAAAGAGGAAAAGAAGAAATAAGTTTGCAAGACCAAGTATGGAATACCGAGAGTACGGGAAAACTGAGTTTGCCTGATGATGAGCAGATCTGAATTTCTGCTCTGCCGAATTTTGACATTTGGGACTGTTTTTCGTTAGGTACCCTGAGACTCCTCCCACTCTCATTTGTTTGGCCCTATTTCGTCTAGGTAACATTTAAAATTACCTTGTTAGCCAAACCATTGTTAAATTTAGGTAGGATTAAATGTTACATTTAAGTTTTATTCAATTTCTGTATCCCTTTATTATTTTATATGCTAAAAAATTAATCATAACTAATACAAAAATATTAAAAAAAAAAGAAAATAAATAAATTGACAATCTTCTCATTCTGATGATTTGCTCCTACACCCACCAAGATGAATTTACCCTAGTCCACGTATAAATTCAAGGCCTAATGATGGAGCCTTGGGCGGTCGAGTCTAAGAATCGGACACTAAAACTGAACTAGAAGAACGGGAGGAAAAAACAATTTTCCTTATTTCCTGATTTAATACAATCCGTCATGCTTTTCTTGACTCAATATATTTGCTATGAAATCTGCAGCATCTTGCGGAACAATTGATGATAGTATTACTTCTTTACAAACAATAATATCTAGAGCAGGCATGAGAAGTAAAGTTAGATACTCTCAAAACAACTTTTGCAACCATCTAGGAATGTGTTGAGACCACTAGCCCATTGTCATGTAATGAAACGTCACAACAGAATTACTACTTAGCTCACAATTTTTTTCAATTAAATAATCCCTGCCCTCGATGAAACTTATTCAAAATGGTAATATAATTACCGCTATTATAATTATATTTTGATGACACAAAAATATTATGATGTATGTCGCTTATTATTGAAGATTCATGATCTAACAGCGAAAAATTATGTCAAACCATGAGGAATCGATTTTTTTTTGCTAAGTTTTGTCGTCCTGATGAAGAACTTCTCCTTCCAATTTTTAAAGAATTGTGTGTATTTGAAGTTAATCTAAAGCATCTGTACATTTTAAAGAAAAGAATTCATCATTTACCTCAAAAAATAATATTTCGCTGGGGGAAATCTGGCAAAATTTGAATGTATGTACAGCGCTTTTCCTTAGCACGGTAGCGCAACCCTCCAGACATACCCTCAAAAATTCTCAGAGGAATACACAAAAACAAAAATTTATTCCCAAGTGCACCGAAAACTTCAAAAGCTGCATTGTTCTAAAAGGCATGGGAAATTGGTGTCTTCACTCATAAAGGTACTAAAGCACATATTTTATAAAATTGACAGACTTTATTACTTAAAAAGTAACCTTAGAATTTTTATATAAAATACTTGAACAAATAAACAAAATTTGATACAATTCCTTGCTCAGGCTGAAGCTGTAGCAGGTAAGATAGGCTTGTACAGTAGAGTAGTGACATACTTCTTCCTGTATCTGTGAGTCGCACTTAATACCATGACTCCATCTTTGATTGATAGAGCGTAGAGGTGATTCAGCATCACGTGGTTTGGCTCAGGCAACAGCGTAGGTTCGCACTGAAATTGAATAAAATCTCCGCTAAAATACTATGTTGGTAAAAATTAATATTTTCCAAAGTTAAAAATTGATGAAAAAAAGAGCTCACAGGGTGTTCAGTCAGCCCAGAGACATTCCGATACTTTTTTCTGACATTTTCTAGACTTTGTCTGCACCATTCAAGCAACTTTGCTAAGTCAGTTAAGACACTAATTAATACTGAACGATTATCAATAATGCTAGTAGTGTCAGCGCCATCTGACAAAATTTGAAAAATCAATGGACCTAAGACTTCATGGGATTTTAAAATAAGATTTCTTGGAATCTTTTTCTTTCTCTCTTCCGATTTCTGAAATTTCATCATGCGGAAGGTGGATGATTATATTTTATATTATTTTCTTGAATTTTGCTGATACGCTGTCATGTTTTGTATGTACGTGATAGTCACTTTTACAGCGCATTAGGGTGCTCTACAACATCTAAGCACCACAGGAATCTGTCAAGGTAGAGATCCTCTGGAAGCTGGCATCTCCATTTTCATTTGAATGCCTTCTATTCACCTTTATTCTTTTTGAAACGATGTATTTATCAGAGTTATAAATTTGAGAATGTTTTAACTTTTTTTGGACTTCAGTGGCAAAAATTCAGATGTGTTCCTAACTTTCGAACCTATTTTAAAAATCCCCTAGGCCTAACAAAAAATCATGGCTCCTTCCTGTTCAGCTTTTTTAAAGTAAGTACTTAGTTTGAATTAAAAATAACATTTAAAACAGTTATTTCCAGAAGTCTTAGGTGGAAGGGACCAAAACTAAAATATTTAAAACGGGTATCTTTGAAGAGCCACTCTTCCTATGCTTTGTAGACCTTGAAAAAGCATTTGATCGCGTACGAAAACAGGATGTGCTGCAGATATTAAATGAGAGAAATGTTCCCAGATGCTTGATAGAGTTAGTTAAAGATTTAAATACTAACACGAGGACCCAAATTATTACCGCTGAAGATCTCTCGGATGCCATCGTCATAAATAAGGGAGTGAGACAGGGTGATTCGCTGAGCGCATTTCTCTTCAACTTAGTGATGGACAAACTAATTCGCGCCGTGCGACCAAGGCGAGAATATACGCTTAGGAACAGAAATATTAATATCATTTGTTATGCTGACGATGCTGTGCTCATAGCAGATTCGGAAGATGAACTGCAAAGAATCTTGCATACATTTAATATGACAGCCAAGAAGTACAATATGAAAGTATCTGCCGCTAAGACAAAAAGTATGGTAGAGGTAGAAACCCTATACGATGCAAGTTGGAAGTAGATGGTAAAATGATCGAACAAGTGATGGAGTTTAAATATCTTGGAGCATTGCTGACAAGTGCAAAGGACTTAGGAACCGAAGTGCAAGACCAGGCACTCAAGGCGGCGAGAGTTGCCGGATGCCTCAACGAGATGGTATGGCGCAACAAATACATGGCCTGAGAAAGTAAAGTCAGAGTCTATAAAACAATCGTTAGACCAGTGTTAACATTTGCCGCAGAGACCAGGGCTGAGACAAAGCGCACCAAACAACAATTCCGCACCGTTGAAATGAAGGTCTTAAGAAAAATAGCGGGCTTTACACTTTGGGATCATCAGACCGACGAGTCCATCAGGGATGCTTGTAATGTGCAAGATGTAGCCAAGTGGACTAGGCTGAGGAGAAAGATGTGGTCGGAGCACGTTGACAGAATGGATGAAGAGAGACTGGCAAAAGTTTGTACGACTGGACAACCCATAGGGAAAAGACTGCCTGGACGACTAGAGAGATGGGCACAAAGCTGGCTCTCTTCTCCTGAAGATGATTGAATGTTCCTGTTGCTATTTGTTTTATTGACTTGACGAATCTTTACAGATAATTATTATATTTTTAATATTTTGTGCTCGGCACTCAAAGGCTTGACAAACAGGGCCATGCCCTAGTCGTTAGTAGAAGAAGAAGATCTTTGAAGAAAAATAGGCTCTAGACATTCAATTTCCAATGTTGAAAGTTGAACTTGTAAGAGGTTAAAAAAGACAATCCATTTTAACTTACCGACAGAGGGGTATCCTTATTTAGAATGACTTGCAGTAAATGCGGGGGTAAGATAGGAACTCCAGATTGTTTTGTCCAGGTGAGTTTTGTAGGCACTACTTGGCCATATTCAGCTGAAAAATAATCAAAGATAGGTGCTTTTAAAAGGGAGTTTCTAAAAACCTACAATGTGAGCTAAGCTTGCGGTAGGTGAGTAAATAGTGGAACGCTAGACTGGGCGATTTAGGCATCACAAGACGAATTTTTCAATCAAAAATTCGTGAAAAATACTCATGGCAGATTGAAAATGCTCAAAATTAACTCATAATTGAGAGATTAATTGACGTTTACATTGAAATGTGGATTAAAATGTGTCAATTCAAACTCCGGCTTGAAATAAAACCAAATCAATTTGGGTTGATTTGGCCAATGAGAAAAACTTGTCGTCTAGCAAGGAGCCAAAACTGGGTTTAACAAAAATTCCTCTCCTTCTTGATGCTGATTGCATACAGGTAAATTTGTAAAGAAATTGAACACCCACAGGAAAATAATTCGTCATGAAGTACACTGCAATTAGTTCAGTGCTTTTTAGGTTTACGTACACTCAAATTTTTTGGGGAGGGGGAAGTTTGAATTCACCAAAATGGAAAATGCTTATTCCTCATTTACTCAATGGTTGAAATGTGTTAATAATGCTCTACTTGAAATGATGAGAATACATGTACTGCCATGCTTGCTTTTTAATTTTGTTTAGTGGTCCATTAAAAAATAATTCTGAAAACCTAGGCTTACACTTTTGATATTTTCCCCCATTTTTTTTCTTTCAACGATAAACCAGTAGGTTTCAGAATAAAAAAAGCCAAATTGTTAGAAAATAAACAAGTTTCATGAGGTCAAAGAATATTTTAAATAAAGAAGTCAGCATACTAATCATGGGCTCTGAATTTCGTTGGGTGCAGCTGACAGTAAAGTCGGTCAACATAATATCATTTCAAGTTGAGCTTCAATTAGGGCAAGCTAGATGCACTAATAGTTCCTCAACTATGCAAACAATTATTCGAGCAATCAATTATTTAAAGTAAACAATCTTGCAGTTATATAGGAATGAAAGTTCTCTTGCAGCAAAGTTTGGGCTCAAATAGATTTTAAAAATTTTCAATTTCCACTCTAAGACTCATCTGACAATCCTTTTCTACCGTATTTTTGATTTTGCGAGGTCTTAAAGGCTCCTCTATCATCCAGCTTTGTTAGTTGTCTGTTCCATCAAGTCATCTAGCAATTGAATTACGGAAGCAAGGCTGTTACTTTATCTCATTCACAAATATTCGAATAGAAGAATGACAAAGAAATCATACAGACTTTTTAGGACTTTTCACTAAAAGGAGAGATTTGAAACTCATCAGTTAAGCCTCTCAAAAATCTGAAATATTGTTCTTACTTTGTAAACTAGAAGAGATTCCTTCGCTGTCTTTTTCCAAAGCTTGAAAAACTTCAAAGTCAGTTTTTTTAACACTGATCATGTTATTCTTTGTTCCTAGACCATTATCCACGATCCTCTGAAGAAAGAAAAAAAAAGAGATCTCTTAAATCGGAGCACAAAATTTGACACAGGTTTAAAAAGTTCAACATCCAAAAAGGTAAATGAGACGCATTCTATATTATTCCAGTTTTTTATAAGAGTGATCATCGATGGATGTCATGCAGTAAAGATGATCTATATACAAAGAGAGTTTTGAAAAACGATGTATCTGTTGAAGCAGTGAATTCTGTCTAGTAATACAAAACCTCATTTTTCTAAAATTCCCTTCGTAGATACAATATTCTGCTTGGGCCATCTAATTAAACAGTTACCAATAATAGAAAAGAGTCACACCAAGTTGCAGCTCAAGGCCCTAGTTCTAAATGCTGTAAACATGACTTTTCTCTGACAGTTGAGCTGAAGTGAACAATAGATGCTGCAAAGTTTTGAGGCCTGTTTCCCCCGAGGTCCTTATTCTGAAGATCAAACTTTGAATTACTGCTGAGTCCCTAAATTTTTTGAACAACTTTGGAGGGTTTAAGATACACAAAACTTCAGCAGTTCCAACTACTGATACGCCAATAACCGGACTCTGTACTACTCCAATTAATTTAGCAAGTGTGTACAACCTAAATTTGAACTTGGAAAACGCTGTATTCAACATTACAAGTGTTAAGTCACAGTAGCAAAGTTAAAGTAGCTGTTGAGAGTGGTACAAAGAAAGTATAGTCCTCTGACTAGCATTTTCTGTAAAAATCTGAGTTTAGCCACAATATGTACTCTAAATACAGCCTCCTTCATCAAAATTTCAAACACTTAGACACTTAATGCCTTGTTTTAGTTTACAAGCAATCAAGATATTTTCTCAAGCTGATTACTTCCTTTCATGACGCCTATCTGTTTGAAAATAACATATCTTCTTCCGACAATTGAAGATACATTCTAGTGTCATAGTATGAATTAATTTAGAAATAGATTGACATTATTTCATGGGAGTGCAAAAAATATTTGATCTTAGGATCCACTGATTCTGAGAAGCATTTTCTGAGGAGAAGTTACAGTGAGGATTAGGCCCATTGAAATAATAATGCTTTAAAATTGAAATTCCATTTGAGGAATGAGTCTCTATGATTATTCTGGATAATTTTTGTGCTTGGAGTGGCAATATGCGCTTTCCAAAAATTGATACTGTATGGCAATACAGTTACAATAATTTCGACGCTTTGAATTAAGAATTAAGAGTGACATGTAACTAAAACTTACAAACTTTACAATCTTACATTCAAATTCACTATCACTACTTCCTGTAAGTAAACTAGCTCCAATAAAATTTTAATAATTTGACGATGCAAATACTCCTTATGATAATTATTGCCTCAGGGAATTGCAACTAAAGTAAGAAAAATCTTGGGCTCATGCGGCAACTTTTAGTAGACAACAATTTTTTTTCCTCATCACCTTAGAAAATGGCTAAATGAACTTCTTCGAAATTTTTCCTGCAGACAGTAGGAAATATTACTGAAATGAAACTTTTTGCACCCCAATTATTTAACTTTTAATTTTAATGTAAAAGGAAATAAAATTGGCAGGCACTTACGTCACTTACCAATGACGGATCAAACTTCCATTCGCCATCAACACAAAATTTGTACTGGTGTTCCCCTTCAGGTAAATCTATGATGGTCACAAAATCTCCATGGCTGAAAAATAGATGAAATAAAGTTGGTTTTACTGACGTTACAAAAGAAATACTAAAATCATCCAACCCTCTTGAGAATTCATGAGTGCCCCTTTGCTTAGAAAATGGCTTAATTTTTTAAGAAGGAAACCCTTCATCGTACGGAACAGATTGGCAAGATTTGATGAATTTGCAGTGTACAACTACAAAATAATGATTTTGTTTTTTAATACTACAGATATTAATATTTCTTTACAGAAATATTAATATATTGAATATGTATATAAATAATAGTATTCATGAACGTCACAAAATTGTAATGTTCATGAATACCCCTCTGTTTAGAAAATGCCTTAATTTTTTATGAAGGAAACCCTTCATCTTACCAACAGATTGGCAAGATTTGATGAATTTGCAGCGTGTGACTACAAAACGATGATTTTGTACTTTAAATAAAGAACTTTGTACATGGACTGAATAACTTTGTGCTGTTTAATGTCTTGAAAGCTAAGCTCTGTTATCACTGCCACAGCTGAAGTAAAGCAAGCAATGGAAATGAGGCTTCACTCCAAAACCTTGCCCCCTATGCAGCCCAGATCTAGCAACCTTTGGCTCCTCCATTGGCTCAAGACTTTTTTGAAGGGTACCAAATTTGCTATGATTGCAGGGATCAAAGAAAAAACACTATAGTGTATTTCCTTCGGAGACACTAATGTGTTAGAAGTGATAGCCATCCCGAGAATGGACTTTTCTGAGTGTTCATAAAAGTTGAAAGAATTCTGGGAAAAGTATATTGTGTCTAGCGGCAACTGCTTTGTAGGAGATCTAACTCTCAACATTATAGGCTTGCTTTTATTCTACAGAAAAAAAAAGCAATGGTCATATACTATCTTGAAAGACCTTGCAAATCTCCATAAAAATGAGCAGTGAAACTCTGTTTTGGGGTGAAGTTGAAAATATTTCTGAACTTAGCAACTATTGTATGGCTGGAACAATATAATCAAATTGTACCTTTTGACCATGGGCAAAGGTTTCCAGTTTGAAAATGTTCCGCTGATCAACACCTGTTTGCCGCCACCTTCCCATTTAAATACAGTTGGCAATGTGCTTGGTTTGTCTTGCTTGACTTTACTGACTTTGGTTCCTTCCGAAATTGTTGCAGATCTTTGCCTGGGGGCGACAGCACCGAATTCGTGTTCCTGAAAAAATTTAAAATTTGAGTAAATTGAAATTTTAAGCAGAGCAGTATTTTCATGATATAAATGACTTTTCTTATAGGAGCTCTTTTGATATAGAATTTTAGATGATCAACTAAGGTCACTGAGGTCAAAGTAATAATTTACATCATCTTCGGTGTTCATATGACACATAGTTCTAAGATGTTATTGATTCAAGTGAAATTAAAGCTTGTCATTTGTACCAACTTACAGAACAGTTATGATAGGTAAGTTTGAGATTTCAGACTTATTTGAACATTTTGGTTACCTACAAAATTACGGATGAAGAATAAAAAAATAGCAATATTTGCATTTTGCGCCATTAGCCATAAAATAATAATATATTTTGTTGATGACTGTCAGATTTTACCAACATGATTTTCGTCCAAAGTACATACCTAACCATCTCTTTTTTTAACAACAAACGTCCTCAGAGGACACTTGAGATCAACATTCGTCATTTGGATGATGGGCGGAGCCTACCTCTAGGTAAGAGAAAGTAAGTAAGTGAGCATAATGAAGAGCTCGCAGTAAACAATCAGGAGCCAAAATCACTGCCAATCTCCAGAGCCAAAATAAGGGAGATGAAAATAAAGCGCTCGACAGAAGACCTTGACTTAGATACCCTCCTTTACTATGATTGGTCGACTGCCTTGAGGAGATCTAGGTACTTAGGAGCCTCCATGGTCCACCATCCATAAAAAGTTTAATCAGCCTAATACTTAGCATACAATTTCTGTTGAGTGATTCATTATTTTTAAAAATAGTAGCATTATCTACATCAAAGTGTCATCATTCGCCTTTACCATCCGATTGGCACAGTTCTATCTAAAGTTCCCTGAACCAAACTCGTGGTCTCCACAAAGAAAAAAGTTCATACAACTCCTCTGAGGCTGTGATCTCTATTTAATTGGTCGATTTACTTCATGCCCAAGTGGAGTATTCGGTTAATTCCATTACATACTAGCAACACTCCAAATATTCACTTTCGGCCATTTAATTCCTTAATCATGAGCTCAGAACATAATATTTGGCTGAGACATCTTTAATTTAAATGGCAACCTCAAGTTCCAGTAAAAAGCAAGCATAAAAAGTAGTTGAGTGAAAGAAAGTGGTTTACATTGGCTCCTTTGGTGAAATATGGCTCCTCTTCCTCGTTGGAACTCTGGAATACAAGCTTCGAGGCAGGTTTCTTGGAGAAAACGAACGCTTGACTTTGGGTGTCTTTGCAAGGCGAAGAGGGTGTCTGAATCTCCCCAGGTTTGGCACGATGAGGTTGGTTGCTACCTGCGTTTCCCATATTGAAATATTGATCTAGAGTGGCCGCATGTCAAAAGATGAGGAAGAATCTGACTACCAGGTTTGTGGCTAGATGACCAATACCTTTTGCATGCTGAAGCACAGCTAGTAAAGTCAAACTACATGCTTCAGTCACTATTATCTAAAACACTGGTTCATTTTGTGAAAGTGAATACAATCGAAATCAAATTCCACAAATTACTGACAATTGATTTTGCAGTAAGTAAACGCACTGATAACACTGATTGGAATGCATTAACCTTCAAAATATATTTGTTGACAAAAATATTTGTACGACGTCATGCGTGACGTCAAAGGAGCCGCCTGTGTTGCCCGAGGGTGAAACTTGATAAATTTTTGTTACTCTGTTAAGTTTTTAATTAAAAAATCATATAAAGATTTTGAACCGCGAAATATGACAACTAATCTCAAGAAAAAACTTTCAGAAGATCCTGTGCATAGTCAGAGTAACTATATGCATAATTTTTGGCGTAAATGGTTGAAAAACGAAATTCGTTTCTATACAATTTTTTTTAGTAGTTGGTCATTCGCAAATTAACAACTGGCGCGAATATTTGAATGTAGTGAAAGTGCGTGCCAAATAAGTTTTCAATCGATCAAGTTTTAACGCAGCTTTTGAGTAAAAACTAGACGCTACAGGACTTAGACCTACTTCCTTAAAGAAAAATCCTGTTCATATCCCTACGACCAGGGGAAGAATCCTGACTACCGACGTATCTTACAGAGACATCTCAGTTCTTAAAACATGATTGATGAAAGCTGAGCATTGAGCGAAACTCTAAAGAATGCACAGTGATCATGTTTCACTGCCTGTTGGTACCTAAGAGAGAGACGTGAGCAAATTGCAGCTAAGACACACGTAGAGCAGATAGAAACGAAATTGTGAAATATCTGACTGGTAGGGAGCAAACTCTGATTGAGACTGCAAATGCAGTATCTTAAAAATAGAAGTGTGCCTAACGGATGGAAGTGATTATATTGTAAGCTTTGGTAACACTTACTTCAATCATCAGACACTATCCAAAAACTTCAAACAGGTATGGAATGTGTGTTTGATAAATTGTTTGCATTTAAGCTGAGATGATATCCTTCTTTTAGTAGTAAAGAGAGACTTATCATTCAAATTGGGGCCCTGAAAACAAGTTCACCTTAGGAATAATCAGGAAAATTTCTTGCATGAGCAACATTGGTATTAAAAAGTTTCATTTTTATGTTCTAGTCATCATATCGACGGTGTAAGTCGGCAATCACATAACTCGGTTTGCGACATCGCAGACTTCCTGACATACTTTATTTTTTAAATGGAAAACTACTCAACGGAAATTCTTTAAAACTGTCATGATTTTTCTTATCAATGCAAAGAAAATTCTGCAAAAACTTCAAGAAATAATGTCAATTTGTTCTCCTTTAGAAAAAGGATGTAGAGGCGGAGATTTTCAGACACCGCAAACGAGTTATGTGATTGCCGACTTTCACCGTCGATATGTTCTAATTTGTATTACCTTGATGGCAAATAAAGAATGACTGCCTATTTAATTATAAAAGGAGAAAATATGTCTCCTGCCCAAGAGCAAAATGAGTTGATACTTACAATTTTATTAAATGTTCAGAAATTTTACACTCAAAATTACTAACAACAAAGATACACAAACTTTTTGAAGTCTCGATACGACTCATTTTACCCTCGAACTGAAATTTTTGAGTAAAAATGTGTTGCTCATACATTTCCTATCAACATGATTTACAAGAAGGGAACAGAATAATTAGATTTCAGTTTTACAGCGACCATGAGATAGGATTGCAGGTATCTTCTTAGCCTCAATAATGTATATCCTTCTTTTTTTAGATCGCTTTTGCTGTAGAAGATATTTCAACCATAACTGCAAGCACACATAAAAACTAAAGTTGAAATAAATGACATTGAGAGCCATCCTATAAAATGCTCTAATATCCTCTGAAGATTTGAAGAGAACAAAACCTTGAAAATGAAAATCAGTCAGGTAATGCTGCTTAGTTTGTTCTTTATGCTGGGCGAGAATATTCAGCAAATAAACAGCATCTGCTGTGGTCATCGCATTCACCCATGGGGCTCTAGAATAGACATCTGTAATAATGTGGCATACCCCTTTCAAAGAGGAAAATTCTGTTGCAGTGATGGTAATTGTAATTTCTTTTGTTGCAATTGTGAAAGCGAGTGTTTGGGGGTAGCTGCAACAAAGGACAATGAGGATATTTTTTATATGGAGGAAGAATTAGAGCAGTGAGATTTTACTATATCTCTTAGTTTGAGATTGAAATGTAGAATTTTAGAGGGTTGAGAGGATGAACAGCGGAATGAGATCAGGTACCTAGCTTGCATAAATTGGCAGTGAAACTTCAGAAACACCTGGACGTCTTGTCTGCGAAAAACGTCCATGTTGGACAAACATGTTTGCTGATTTCTTTCGGGAAAGATAGAATAAGCGGAAAAGTTTTGAAAAATTGCAATTGATTATGAGTGTACTTTATGTTAATTTACTTAATGAATAATCCTCTTGGTCCGACTGATATTCCTGATAATAAAAGTCAATTTACAATTGAGCTGAGTTTCTCATTGCTTCCCCGTCTGATTTGAAAATGAATATATTAAAAATACTGGACACATTGTTTTACTCATGCTAACAAGTCCTTTGCAGGTACCCGCCAAGAGAAGAAAAAATCTAGGAGCATTTCATTGATAAATGAAAAACTTCAAGAAAAAACCACTGAACCTTTAACTATATTAAAATTTATTTAAAATCAGTCTAGGATTTCTTCTTAATCTAAGACAACAATATAAAATTTTATCATTAAAAACATCATAAAACAAGTAACAAGGCAGTTGCAAATTACCTAAAAGGTAACAAATTAAAACGATAACTTAAAAATAAAAATGGGTTCATCCTGTGATTCATTTTCGTTGATAACTTTGACGTGCAATACAATTTTATGTGAGAGACTTTTAAAGCTTACAATGTGGCGGAGTTTAAAAATTCTTCATTTTTGCCCCTAGAGTTTCTTTAATCGCTTCAAGGAAATCTAACGTGTTCAAATACATGTTTTCTTTGGTTCCTTGGGCACCATGAATGCAAATTGCTAAGTCCTTCGTCATCTTGCCAGACTCAACGCACTCTACACAAGCTTGCTCTAGGGCATCGGCAAACCTAAAACAAAATGAAAAAAACTTAGTATCATTTGAGAAGATACAATTAAACAGGAGACTTAGATATCGACGGTGTAAGTTAGCAATCACATTACTCGATTTGCGACAACGCAGTCTTCCTGTCGTACTTTATTTCTTAAACGGAAAACCACTCAACGGCCATTCTTTAAAACTGCCGTGATTTTTCTTCTCTGTGCGAAGAAAATTCTGCAAAAATTTCAAGGAATGATGTAAATTTGTTCCCCTTTAAAAAAATAACATAGAGGTGGAGATTTTCAGACACTGCAAACAAGATATGTGATTGCGGACTTATGCCGTCGATATAAAATAAATTTGTGACCTGTCTTATTAAGAGGAAGCGGATAATCGGTGCAGGAAAGTAGATTTTTTGGCGAGCAATTTCTGATGAGTTGGGTTGAAAAATCAGCATTTGATTCTTCAACAGAAAAAAGTTTACCTAAACTTTAGAGAGAACCAAGGAAAAAACAAGAGAAAGACCAAACTGTGAAAACTGAATTGCTATAATACTTCACTTATGTGGCTACAAATAATTATCTGTTTTTGAGTTGGAGAACACGAAAAAAACAAGTGAGGGACAGAGAACACATTGTAGTTGCCAAGCCAATAGAATCAATGGCTTCGTTTCCATTTATCTCTCGCTGTCAAGCCTGCTGAAAAATTTCATTTCAAGAATGGAATTTTTTTTAATGTCGGCAACCTCTTTTCTTCAACACGTCTTAAACATTGCAAAGAGAATGGCGCCCATTGAGGGTTGTTTTGACAGAATCACAAACAACGCAAGCGTTCCGATCCCCACAATGAATATGGACCTGGAAATAGTGTACAAAAACTAGGCAACATTGTGTCATTGAAAGATTTCAAAATGGTCAAGAGTCACCAGATCAAGAAGATCAAGAAATTTGATTTTTTTAGCGACCATTTTTTATTAATTTTAAAAGAGTCTATTATTTCATATTTGTCTTATTATTGGCAGCAATCACATAAGTAAAGTACAATAAAACTTTACCTAAACGGCATTATTTTGATAGGTTGTCTTGGTTACCGGCCAAGGGGAGTTTAGATTGTGTTGCGGTTGTCTTTCTTAAGTATTTTTAAACATTTTTGGTACTTCAAAAATATGTTCGTAAAAAGGTAGAAGGGTCAAATTTGACTGTATCACTCAATTTGCAGGAAAATCAGAAACAATGTTAATTACAGTTAGGAAACCAAAAATTGATTAATGATTCTATCTTGTGTAGCTCCGTGTCTGGTCACTTGCTGATTCAGCCAACGACAAGAAAATTGAGTGTGCCCATCGCCTCACAGTTGTTAAATGTGCTGGACGCTTGGATTTATAGAGCACTAAATAAAAACTACTAGAGAAGTACCAGTCATTTTCTCCTGTAAGATAACTTCCAGTCACTTCCCTGAGCAAAGCTTGGTGTGGCATGGTGAAAGAAACTAAATCGGGCGTGATGAGAAGGAGGTGTGAATGAACGAGAAGTGTATCAATTAATAGCACATGGTTTGAAATTGTTTGTCTCAGTGATGATCTCCTGCCACCCTCAGGGGGCTGATATTTGAGCAGATGGCTTCAATAACAAGTACAAGGCATGTCTCAGTTGTCCTCAGAACGATAGAGATAGCACTAGTCCATGCATTGCCACTTTTGTCAGGTATCTTTTTTCTCGGATTGCTAGCCTATGTGGCATGTTAGAAATAATCTTATCTAAAAATACAGTGACAGGCCATTTGGGGCAATGCTCCTGCCATAGAGTTAATATTATTGCAAATGGTAAGCTTACTAGTTAGAAATTACTTATTCCTTACTTGGCTAAATCAGGAGTGTTATCTAATTTTGCTCGATGAGCTAAGCCTCGAGTCCAAGCAAAAATAGATGCGATGGGATTCGTTGAGGTGGGTAGTCCTTTTTGATGTTGCCTGAAACCAAAAAAAGGAAAAAAGATAGTGTACTTCAAAAATTCTAAGACCTGAAATTCAAAGAGATTATTAACTCAGTATACATAAAATTAGCTTATGAGAGGAAATTTTTGGGTGGCTTGATACAATACAACCTGACTTCATTGAAAATTATTTCTGCTGATTTGCAATGGGCAAATTTTGTAATTTTGTCTCATAGACATGCTTTAAAGTAAAATGTTTGTCTCTGAAATAGAGCAACAGAGCCTGAGTTAGAGCTTTGATATTCAATAAGGCATGAAAAGACAGCTATTTTCTCATCCTGAGAAAAACATTGTGCCTAAAAAAGGAATGTAAGTGATGAGATGATGGGTCATTTTGTGTTTAAAAGTTTTAGGGTTTGGGACTAACAGGCCATTGAGTCAACGATGCACTCATGAATCAAAATTGATGAGAGCATGAGTCTCTCAGACTAAAAAGATGAGTAATCCAGTGAAAGAAAGACATTTCTGAACGAAGAAATTTTCTGTCCTCCTTCAATTACATTACTTGAAATTGACTACTCTGAGATGTGTCATCATTTAATTCCCATTGAATCAAATTAAAAATCTAAGATTCACAGTGATAGTCACTTGTGCGTAGCTTTTGTCTTGCACTTTCAAACAGAAAAAAAGCTGGGTGTATATAATACGCGAGGGAGACTCTTTGTTCTGAAACTAAGCACTGCCAGACAAACATTTTGAATACCCTAGGCTTGCAATGTGGTTCCGCGCGCTGGAACATTGGCGATGGGCCTGCACCAGTTCATTAATCCATTTTTTTCTTTTTGCCTTTGCCCTCATGATAAAACAACTTATGATACATGACGTAAATACATTTGTCAACGACAACATAGACATTCTTGCACAAATAGGTACTTAGCTTTGGAACAAATCTCATATATTTTGTGTCCCTCAAAATTTTACAACCTAGGCTGCAGTTAATGTAATGTAATGGTAAATCCAGCCCTAAAACTCTATTCGGCTCTGATTTTTTTTGGCTAGTTTTATTTGTAAAAAAACTAGCCAAAGCTTGTTTTGACTAGTTGTTGTGTTTTTTTTGCAACGTTAGATTTAAGAGAAGATAATGAAAGAGAGAGAAAAATTAGGTTAAAAAAATTATGGAACAACAACGAGAAAAGGCAGTTCTTACCGGTAATGACGGGTGACGGTACCATGAGCAGCCTCTGATTCAATAGTACGACCATCTGGACACATCAAGACTGACGTCATTAAACCTAAGGATCCTGCAATTAAAATAAATTCAGAATCATTTAAAGGCAAACAAATATTTTATAAAGGTTCGTTCGGCTTGTAAAGATATAGTTAACTTTTTGAAATATAATCCTGGATGACTTGAGAGAATTTTGCACGGGAGACATGATGACAAATACTTTGAGAAAGAGGAGAAACTCAACTCTTTAGAATGGCTATCCCTGGTCCTGTTGGTAAAAATGTGTAATTTTTGTAAATTAAACATGTGACTATTCAAATCTTTTTTCGGGCTAAAAAAAAATGCTACAGGGCAGAAATCAACATTCCAATCTTGGAAATCCGTCAATCAAGTCAATTACTGTCAGCTCGACAAATTTTTGTTTTGACGGTTTTGAAACACACTAAAACTACGACAAGGCAAAACTTCATAGCTACTTCCATTTTTACAAAAACAAAAAAAGCAAAAAAGCAGAATTTTAAAGCGTTTTTTACGTCTTTGAATCGAAATAGCTGCGAGACTTTTCACAGTCTGAAACAAATCATTACTTTTCAGAAGTAAAATTGAGATTATGAGACCATAAACTCTTCCCATCACAATATGGATAACAATGATTATTTAAATGATGGCTTTAAACATTCATAAAAAAAGAAAAAAACCTCATTTTTCCAAGAAGCACATTAATCCAGACCATCACATTTTGACCCTACAGTATATATCACTTTTTCTGACAAAATTTGAACAATTTAATAAAACCTGCACCCGAACTGTTAGATGGTAAAAGAAAATTGATTCACGTCGCAGCTGTGTTTCAGTTCATGTTGCCATTTCAGTAAGAATAATATTTACCATAGCCTTGAGCAACGATGTCCGACTGCACATCTCCATCATAGTTTTTACATGCCCACACAAAGCCTCCGCTACTTTTCAGAGCTTGCGCCACTTGATCATCAATCAGTCTGTGCTCATACCAGATTTTCAGTTTCTCAAACTGTGGTTTGTATTCTCTGAAAAAATAAAGTGATCTTGCCAATGTCGGTACCTTTCAGCCAGAAACAGAGTTGCTGTACTTTGTGTTTGACAGGTGAGAAAAGTTTATTAGAGGCCTCTAAAGTCTGAAAATTTTAGCTTTTTATGTATATTATTAGAAATACCAAACAACTTGGCAAAAGTCCTGCCAATCTCTATGACATGGGGCCTTTCAATGTCATGAACCGATATTATCTTTTTTATACCACACAGGGAAATTTGAAAAACAGCAACAGTAAAAGTTGTACTTCATGAATGAAAACATGAATTTTTATGAGTCTTCTTAAGAGTGAACTTTTCAACGCAGTAACATGTCTGAGATCTTTCCAACCTATTTTAGAATAAAAACTTCAAAATAAGAAGATATACATCTTCACAATTCATCCAAAACTCACAGAACATACTCACTTTTCATAGATCTCTTGGAAAATATCCTTGAACCGACCATCATATTTCTTCAAAATTGTATTTTTGGTTGACAGGTATAACGGCCACTTCTTCTGGAGTGCAATCTGTAATCAAAATAACAGCACGATGAGTTTGTTTGGTGTATTTTAATTCTTCCATTTTTGAAAAATATTAAGAGCACTTGCAGTTCACAGGAATGTTCTTGGATTTGTTTGAATGATTTTAATCCACAAAAAACAAATTCCAAGTTGGGTATTTTCAGCTCCCATTTAAAGGCGCATTGCTGAGAAAACCAAGATGGCACCAACAATATCTCTCTCGCCTCAGTCTCATTTTCATTTTTGCAATGCCTGTACCCAATGCAGGGCTGTGAATGGCATTTTCCACATTATCAATGCTTTTGGCAAAATTGCATGGTGACACGGTCAATGTGAGCTAGATTGATATCCCGTCTATACCAACTGCAAGGACTATGCAATACAGATGAACATGGCGGGACAATGATGGTGTCAAAGTATTGCGGCACTCAAATTGTTATTTTCTCTCAGTTTCCATTGATGTTCGTTAAAATTAAACTTATTTCAATGTGGAACTGTTGCTTGTTAACCACAGATACAATGAATGAGATTCGATTCTTTGATTCTGAAGATATCTTTTCAACTTGTTACAGATATTTCTCGCGTATGCCTTCAGCACCGCAATGTTCTATATCTTTTATTTTTCTTAAACTTACTTATTTTCATTTATGTTCTTCCTAGTCATTTAGGATGGATGGATTCAGTTCATTTTTCATCTTTCCGCCCTTATCATCCAGCCATCACCCATAAAATTAATGACTAGACTTGCAACTGATAGCTCCACTGATTACAGCTAGCCAATTGCGTGTAGACTTGTTATCTCGCCACCTGTGATGTCACCAAGTCTATAAAAGCTGCCTGCAAAGCATTGCTGCCCCATTTTCTGGGTCCTTCCATCATGGGCGGTGTGTGCCCCACGTACATTCCATTCTTGCCCTTCTGGCATCTCTGACTTCTAAATGTGACTATTTTTAAAACTCTCATTCCAAATCTCAAGATAGCTTTTTTGCCCCTTCAAAATTCACTTTCTCATTTCGCTCTCTCACAAACTTTCAGGACTATTAGAAGTATTCAGTCCTTCTAATATGACAATATTGTTTACATATCAGTGGAGTAGAAAGAATTGACAGAAGTTGTAAAAACTCATGCTTGCTCATCATTGGTGCCAGGCGACATCATTTGATTTGGCGCGGAACCAGGGCGTTTTAAATTTGCGGAAAAGTTGCGCTTTCAGGACTGCGTTTTGCTTGATTTCTGAGTTACTTTTTTGCGTTATCAATGTGAGCATCGGAAACACGTCCACGTATCATTTACCTAATGAAAAACATATTTGCAAGTCAAAATTCGTTCATGGTTAAGTGATCCATTGCAAGAAGATAAAATTGGTTCCTGTTTGTTCAAATGACTGACCTGGAAACTTGAGTGAGCGAATGAAGCTATAGAATCATCTAAATTATACATGGCGAGAGCAACACCTGGACTTTTGTAGTTAAAAACTGTAAATTTTTCTACTTGTCCGTCATCTGCAGTAAAAACTAGTTCCATCTGAAACAGTTAAAAATTGATTGCATGAGATTTTGATGGTAAAGTGAGAAAGATGTTAGAAAAGTGAGGAGGGAAAAAAATATAAAGCTCACCGTTCAGAATACTAATTTTTTATCAGCATCCATTGATTTCTTAGGAAAAAGAGAATCGAAAGAAGAGAGAAGAGAATCTATTTTACAACAATGAACTAGCAAATTCTTGATTTAATACTGTCCTTTTGATTTGTAACTCTCAGGATTACATTTTCTGGAAAAGAAATTAGTAACTTTCAGAGCTTGTAATTCGATACTTTCTGTTCAGTTGTTTAAATTTCTTTGTGCTCATCAGCAACACATTATAAACACCAATAATGAGTTAAAAGAAGTAGCCAGTTTCATTTTTAATGATTTTTTTGTATTGTTTAAAATAGTATACTTAAGTGTGAGATTCAAACATGATATAATATTTTTTAATTACTTACTACTTATGGAGTTTTGTTCTTCAAATTATGTGATGATTTGAAAATTGTGCAATGTCTTAGTGCTCTGAGGATAAGAGGCGACCCCAAATATGTCAGTGAAAAAATTATACAATTGTATATAAAAAACTCTGGCTAAAAATTAAACTTTGTTTTCTATTCAGTTGATTGGTCGAAAAGCATGTCATTTCAAACCCGGTGAGAGGAAGCCTAAAGATAGTATTTCCAACTTATTGTTAGTCCCTACATTTGAGAAAAAAAGGGTAAAAACAAACCTTTCCTGGTTTTGTTACAACATAATCAGTTGCTTTGTACTGGTCGCCGTGAGCATGTCTTCCTATGACAATAGGCTGAGTCCATCCAGGAACTAATTTGGGAATGTTTTTACATAAAATAGGTTCTCTGAAAACAGTTCCTCCTAGAATATTCCTGATGGTTCCATTAGGGCTGAGCCACATTTTTTTCAGCTTAAATTCTGAAAAAAGAAAAAAAGAGCTCCAATTAAATTGAGAGTGCAGAGGACGAATATTACTAGAAAAAAAAAGAAAAAAAAAAAACTGGACCAGTTGAAAAAATAATTTGTGAATGCCAAAGTTTTTGTCAAGATCGGCGGAGAAAAACAAACCCTCTTTGTTTGAATGAAACATCTATTTTACTGACCATTCGGCAAATTGGTCAGTTGCGCTGGTCACAGAGTTGTGTTTTGATGCTTGATTCTTGTAAATTACCTAAAAATAATAAGGTCAGTCCAAACCGCAAGTTTCTACGTTCAATATTAACCAAGATATCGTCCCTTGAAAAGTCGGGTTTTTGACGTCATCCACCGCAACAGTGGCACCCTTGGTTTCTTCCACCTTGTGTTCATACAAGTTTCACGTTGAGTAACCAGTGCAAAACTAGCCGATGAAAGCAAGGTGGAAGAAACCACAGGTGTCACTACCGCAGTGGATAACGTCAAAAACCCGACTTTTCAAAGGGCGATATTTTGGTTAATATTGGACTTAGAAAGTTGCGGTTTGAAAAGAATTCATTATTTTTAGCTATCTACAAGAATCAAGCATCAAAACACGATTCTGTGACCAGCGCATCTGGCCCATTGTGGAGACTCTGGAAGTTGCAATTATGACTTTATGGAGCTGCACTCCAACATATTCACCACTTTTGTGAAGGTATCCCCAAGTGCTATTTTCTTGTTAACAGTGCTAAGATTGTTATGAAAGTTCCGTCATGCTTTCCAAGGAAATCCAGGCACTTATACAATTTCTGAAGCTTGCAAATTCCTGCTGCCAGTTATCTGACTATGAATACTTGCAGATGAACTTACCTTCAACTCTAGCTTCATCAGGAGTAATGGTCGCACATTTAATCCCAACGTTGTGTTTTAAAATTGCATGAGCTGCATCGACTGTTACTTGATCGTTGGTGGCATCTCTATGGGGTAGACCTAAGTCATAGTAAAGGCTTTCGATCTAAAAAAGAAAAGAAAAATAAAAAAAAGATGCAAGAATGAAATTGTCAGATTAGTGTCAAGGCATTTGCACTTAATAAATTGAAATTTAATCAAATTTTTTCCTATTATTTTTCGTCTTAAGAAAAAAAAAAAAAAAAAGAAAACACCTGTTTAACGGTCCAAATGTTAGTCCAAACCAGAGAGCAGTCATACTACAGAAAAGGTCAAAAGCACTACGTGGCAGAGAGATTACCTGTGCTTTACTCACACCTCCAGCATCACCTGGACGCAATAAGTGATGAGAAAATTGGGAGGAAAGTTCCTATTGAGCCTTGGTCTAAATAGTAAATTATAGTCGAAGCAGTAGAGAGAGGCTTTGCTGCTGTCACTAGTTAAATTTTATTAGGTGTATAATAATTACTTCAATGTTAACAAGACATTGCCCTGTCAACATTATCAGTGAAAAAAAAAAAAAAAAAAACAAACTAAGTAATCAATCAAAATACCTTCACAAATGGAAAAATTAGATTTTCTTTGATGTTGGCCCAGATGATTCTTGTCATTTCATCACCGTCCATTTCCACAACTGGGTTCTTGGCTTCAATTCGTTTACTGGATCCATCTGTGAAAAGCCAAAATTAGTCATGAAGTAAACAATGTATCCTGCATAATACATGAAATATAGAAAACAAATAATTGTGAGCCCGAATTTTGTGGACTAACTAAAAGCAAACTGAGAGGAAGGATTAGAGCAAGATACTCATTATCAACGTTGCAAAACTACGGCGAATATTTGGAGAGTATAAACATCACTGATCGAGTTTTTTTTTTTTACAAGATGCGAGGGTTTATTATACTCGAAAACCAATTTTCGTAAAAATAACTTTGTAAATTTTTCAGAGGGGGGGGGGGAATTTTTCTTCGCCTTTTTAAACGTCAGCCAAGAGGTGACAAAGTCTTGGAGCAATCAAAAGGGTAGACTTAATAGTTTGTAGATGCGTATCATTTTCCGCGGATATTCATGGGTGTTCGCGGTTAAGTAAATAAGTACGCCTCCCGATTTTTCCAATCGGTGCAACTCCTTAAAATACTTTGAAAGTATGTTATACATATGAAAAGGCGAAGCTATGAGTTCAGGATCTTCAAAATGCGGTTTTTGTCAGCTCCGCGGTTAACCGCAGTTGCTGGGCCTTTTCCGCGGCTATCCACGAATCTTTTCGGGGGTTTACCCGATATTTGGAAATTTAAGGGGGCATGTTTGAGGATTGCATTAATGAGGATTTTTGTGCATATGTGCATGCTTCTGGGCTCTCGCAAATACTTCGTGTTTTAAGATCATTGTTCAAGGTGGTGGTTAAAAGATCACGGTTTCATTTCAAAATTTCGACGCGCGATTTCGCATGCTCCGATGTGAAAATCATCTACGGATGAACTGATGATGAAAGGACAGTGAGGCAACATCGTCAAAACAAACGTGTTTTAAAGCAAAAAAATAAATAGTGAAGAAATGCTCTTTATCGTCGAGAATAGTTTAAAGTTCTGACGGCGAACTTGAGCTGAAACAAAGTTGAACCGATCGGCATTTCACAAGAACGAGATTGCAAGAGCCCTTGAGTTGAGTATTTTGAGATCAAGGTTACGATCGACCAGGTCGAAAAACTCCGCATGAGCAGATCGTTGCTCTCTGAGCGCACACCACAAAAACTACTAGGTAAAATTACCAAATTTTTCGGTAGTTATAGCGGGCAAACGGGCTCCAAATTACCCCGGGAGCGGACCCTGCAAGCCCCGGATATTCCCCTAAATGAGAGATAAAAAACAGTATACAGGGTTATCCAAAAGTCACTGACCACCCCTGTAACTTTTTTCCAAATTGAGATAGAAGTTTGAAACTTTCGGAATGTTCCTCGGTCTAAAGTAGCAACTTTTTGGTCCCCCCAAAATTTTGGGGGGCGGCCCCCCTTAAGGGGGGCGGGGGCTAACTTTTTTTTTTTCAAATGGCAACCCCCCCTTTGTGATACCTCATTCGA